AAGACCCGCAGGATGTTGTGACTGTCCATAGCCTCGTGCAAGCATCAAACGTTCCCACGGTAGCTGGAGGCCAGACGTCTAACACAAAGGACCAGACGTACGTTTTGTGATCCGGCACGAACAGATATATTGTTTGACACGAAGTCGCAATCAAAGTCAAAGCTAAACGCATCCATAAAGCACATTTAAAAGCAACGAAGAGTTGAACCAAAGTGCTGCTAAAAATATGATCATAAAAGCTAAATCAGAATAACAGACAATGAAATAAGATTAAGAAGTTGTAAGACAATAAAAGATGAAGTCAGGATGTCAAGAAAGAAGTTGGGTCGCAGTAAAAGTTTCTAAAGTCTTACTTGAAAAGGAAAGCAGTTCCAGAGATTAGGAGCAGCCGCTGTAAAAGCTTGATGGCCTCCACTTTTGCTCCTGGATCTCAGAGCATCCGAGAGCATCTGGCTGGTGGATCTCACAGCTCTATGATGAGGCAGGACTTCTGCTAAACGAGGTGGTTCCAACCCATTTAAAGCCTTAAAAACAAGCACGAAACATCTTAAAATCCATTACAAAGCAACTGCATTTTGCATTTTGCTAAAGAGACGACTGCTCTTCAGCCACATACATGGAATCACCATGGTCTAACCAAGCGGTATAAAGGCATGTATGACTTTTTAAAACTTCTTGGGACAGAGATGGGCCTTGATCTTGGCCAAAAGTCTGATCTGAGCTGATCTGTCTGTCAAATTCAAAGGACTTAAAGAAGATCATTCCAAGGTTTTCACCCAACATCGTTTGTATGAAGAAAAAAGGCAAACATGCCATCAGGCCAAAGCTATTGTTTGCTAAGGGTGCACTGATAAGGAAAACCAGATAAGACTGGACAATGGTCCATTTAGAGAACCTAGAGGTGAAAATCCAGCTGGATGTAAAGGCTGAACATCATTAAATCCACCTGAGCAGTGGTTTGAGCGTTTCATTTAAACCTAGTTGAAATATTTCCTATCACCTGTAGTTTTACCATAGACTGTATAAAAGATGGCTGTAGCTACCGTGACGTCACCCGTTGGTTTCTGCACTGAGAAAATGAAGCCAGAGTTTTGCTACTTCCTGGTTGACATCTTGGATTTTTGGAGCCAGTGACGCAGGGGGGCGGAACCATAGGAGCAGCGATTGGTCAGACGGATTGAGAGGCGGGCCCTCTCTGCCCGCCCACATTTACCGCCTTCTGCTCGCTTCATCTGCATCGTCGCTGCCGACTGTCAATCAAGCCAGCCACGCCCCTTGCCCCACAAAATGTTGATGATTTTTTAAAAATTCACTATGAATTTATTTTCAGATTGGCCACCTAATCTCTGGACTTGACCATGAAAACTCATTTTGAAAAAATCCTGAGCTGGAGGAATGCAGTATTTCGTGATCTGTGATCACTTCTTTTCCAATTCATTTCTATAGGAGCCAGGGCTTTTTGGAGTCAGGACTAGCGGATGTAGTGATATTGCAGGTTTTTGACACTTCCAGGTTGGCTTTTTCAGGGCCGGTTGCTACGTCCATCTTTTATACAGTCTATGAGTTTTACACTTTTATTGACTTGGTTGTCGGGACAGATAGGGCGTCTTAAATGGGTTTGTGAGCATTTTAAGCAAGTATGGATGTGGTCAGTCTTTTGAAAGCACCTGTTCTAAACAGTATGTCCTCCAAATCACCTCAGGTGTCTGGGATGCCAGGTTTAATCCCACCACTGGAAAACCACCAGACACCAAAAGCTATTTGTAGTAGAGAGGAATTCCTGCTGTTGGACGTCAAGATAATCAAAACAAATATCCTACAATCCTTGTCTACAGATGTACATTTCCAGTTCTTCCATTGGTGCCACCCTTAAAGAAGCATGTTCCCAGCACAAAGGCATAAGACTGACTGTGAGTTAAAGCTATGTTACCATGCATTCTTTAGTATAACACCAGATCTGGACTCTTTTAACGGTTAACGTAAACCTTTCTTAACTCTTACAAAGCTCTGTAACCTTGCACATGCAACATTGTTCATATGACAACAGGAGAGCTGTATGAATGCATGCTGACAACGTTGTTTGCACAATGAATGTTGTGATTTACAAATGCTCTTTGGCAAATAGTGCCATGAGATCACTTAACATTTAAACACCATTTAAACATCCTCACTCAGCCTATAATATGGCTCATTTAAGAGTTTTTACACGAGTTTCACAGGATGTTGGAAAAAAAATGTTGCTACAAAGATAGCAGAGACAATTGCAAAGAGGGTAGGAAGGGACAGTTTGAGGTTCTCGACACTCCCAGATTGCAGTTTTACCGCTTAGTGCTCAATTGTGAAAATAGATGTACATTATTTAACAAACCTAAAAGAAAAGAACATTTCCCCAATCCTGTCTAGACAGATAACAGAAGGACACCGACTTTCAACAAGATACTGCTGGAACATCCTGTTATGGCTTTTTTTTTTTTTTTAAAGTGCACTTCCTTGAAAACAGATAACATTCAAGGAAAATACACAGCATATAGAAATGTGGAACTGGAGGACGTCTGGGAGCTAAAGTGTCAATCGGAGGTGATGCAGAAGTGAGAGAAGCAGGTTTATGATTGGTAGGTTGCTGGGTGGATCCTCAGAATGCACAACTACTGAAGTACTTTTGTGCAAAGCATGCAAGTTGTAGTTGATCAAGTGATACTGTTGAGCACTAAGCTAATGAATCTGGGCAGCTTCGAGTAATGAACATAGTGTGTGTGCATGATGCAGTGTAGTGCTGCAAGAAAAACATGCTCAGCAAAATTTCTACCGAAGTAAAGAAATAGATTAATAAGCACCATAAAGTTTGCTACAAATAAAAAAAAAAACAGCCTCAAATTTGCAATTAAGTCTCTTGATATATGTCACATTGGCATAAATCAGTTACCAAACTGAAGTGCAGCATATATTCTTTGATTCAACCTGACATTAACATGAAACCAGAGGTTTTATTTATTCCCTCTACAAGGTAGTAAAGAGAGAATGAAAACCAGGCGTCCATTAATCAAACACACATGACAGTGTGATGTGTTTGCAGAGTTGCACATGTGGTCCCTTTTTTTTTTTTCAAACATAGGATTCACGCGCTGAGTGATGGTCAGAAGTGGCAGGAATGACTAGTTGTCATTGGAGTTGTGGCACTGATCAATCACACCCCGAGGTTGCCGCGGGCCAACCGGATGGCATGTTGCATGGGGCATGATGGGAATGCTGGTCAGAAAGAGCACAACTCCCTGCAACATGCACAGCACGAGGACAGCAAGGAAAAAAAAAAAGGTTAAATGATGAGTGAACCCAACAGCCTGCAAGCAGTTGTGGCTTCCAGTTGATCTATTTTTCTTTTTTTTTTTAAAGCATTGACACACAATCAAAACATAAGCATAAAAAGGGATCTTGAGTGGAATACCTGCCTTCCTTTAAACACCTTTCAGCTGTTTTCTCATCATTTAGATCACTGCATTCCTGATATGAGGTGATATATATGAGGAATGTGTACAAACAGCAATATGTTGATAGAAAATGAAATGACTAGGATCAAGGCTGCACAACTCAGCAAAACTGCACTATTTATTAATAAAAGCACCAAACCACGAGAAACCATCCGCCTACAGCCTCAGATGGAACATGATGGCCACCTCCTGGCTGACTGCTGAGCTGCACGTAGTCTGAACTCACAAGCAAACTCAGTTGTAATCTTTTCTCTGCAGTGAGTCGGCGTTTTACCGCCTCCGACATAAAAACGCTGGAAGAAGTGAAGCTCTGAGATCCGTCGGAGGCGCCAGCTGTTCGAACCGGGCAGCGCTGGGCTCGTGCCAGTCAGTGCGCAGCAGTTGGCAGGCCAGCTGGAAGTGGAGCAAGCGACTGAGTCAAGACAGCCTTCTAATACCGAGGAGTTGCTTACTAAAGAGCACAATGTTAAAGGGGTTTTCCTGCATGCACTGCAAAGGGGATCTTTGTGCTTTTTACTGTTATCACTAAGGTTAGAAGTCAGGAGACATCAAAAAGTTACCCAGGTAGCAGATGAAAGTATAAACCTCTTTTTACAAGTTGTGCATTGTTGTAAACAAAGTCTCAATGAGGACGTTTGATTTTCATGTCCTATACATCCTGTACTGTCAGTATTATACGTTTTTAAGTATCAGTATGCGATAAGGTCCACATAGGTGGCACTAAAAAAGCTTCAACTTCTTAAACAAATCATAAATATCTGCTAAAAGTACAAAAGAATATAACAGAAAACTGTCAAAATGTCACACAACTTGTCATGTTTTCTGTTAAATCACTGATAAATTTGATCTTTTTGCATTAAGAATGAAGAACTCTGAATTTTAATCTTGTGGCTTTTGTAGGTCTTTTTTTCTTTCTCCATGCTGCGGTCCGTTCACTGCAATTTATATTCCTGCTGTTTGAACTGTTTCAACCGCAGAGCCTCAGAATTTTGAAGTTTTTCAGGCTCCAGCTGCTTGTTTTCATGTTCATACAGAATAAAACAGAATCCACCTGTTGAGACCTGAATCATGACTCGGGTATTTCATCAGCAACAAGCTCTTCTTTTTCTTTGTAAGGGATATTATTGTTGCATGATAACACGGTTATAAAAAGGAACTGAAATTTCCACACTGCATAACCTTGTAGCAAAAAAAAAAAACAGTGCACCTAAATCAATCTACTGCTAAATGATGCCATTTACATACTAAGCAGCTGCTGCTGAGGTCTTTCTGGCACAACAGTTTGACGTTTAAAAGAGTGTAACAGGATTTGAAAAAGGCCCACACTGCAATTAAACAGAATGGACCAAATGAATGACAGAAACAGGATATTGGCTGAAATTCACGTTATGAAATGTGCTCCAGCCGCAGCAGCGTGCCATCCAGCTCTGTGGCAGATTTATAGCGTCTGATAAGAAACGCCAGAGACGGATATTGTGATTTCTAAAGAAAGAAAACGAGAGAAGCCACGCTGAATACAAAACACGATATGAGGCAGGTTTAATTTTCCACATATTACACATAGAACAAATAGAAAAATAAGCATGTATACCATAATTTTGGGAGGGGAAAAAAAAAAGAAAAAAAAGCATCTTTTGGTCACAATAGAAGGAATAAATAAAAGCAATGCAGCGATCATGAGTCACTCTTCTGAGCTGGAGTCAGTGGAGCTGCTGGTGGCAGAATCTGAAGAACTGCTGCTGTCGTTGTGATGAGATGCGGTTTGTCTGCTTTTCACTGGATGAAAGGGAGTGTAAAAAAAAAAGCACCATTGTCAGTTAAACACTATAGAAGGCATTGAAATCATCTGTGTAATTAGCACCTTACTGCCAACTGATTCAAGTGAAGATGGAACAGAGGCTTTTGTACTCACTTTGAAATTTCTTGAACCTCTTATACAGACAGGACCTGACATACTGCTCCAGCTCTCGCAGCGTGGACGGCTTCAGTATCTCGAAGTCGATCTCGATCTCGTCTGGGTTGGCACTGCCCATCGAGGGCTCTCGTGTCTGAATGATCTGCACCACGCGGGCCAGCTTCATGCCAGGTAGCCGGTTGATGTCGAGGCTCAGTTGGTGCTTCTCGTCGTACGTCATCGGCAAACATTCGACGCATGAATCCCAGTTTTTGCTCCCCTTCCACAACTGCCTGAAATAAAGACTCAACACTGAAAGCTCTCGACAGAAGTGACAAACTAGACAAATAAAGCTCTTGATTTACGTACACCATCATACCTGGAGCTGGAATTTGAAGTGCATTTGGAGCTTTCTTTATTTTGCCTGCTGTTCCTCTTCTCATGCTTTTCTTTTTTCTTCTTTAGTTTACTCACGGGAGCTTCAGCAAGCTGTTGGTGAGCAGTTTTAAACTAGGAGAGTGGACAGAAATGGGTTCCTGTGGTGCCACTTTATAATATTAAGACAAAAAAGTGCAGCGAAAACTGGCAGCATCAAGAAAGAAGAGGTAAGAGTCACAGAGCAGTTGCTGTGTGATGTAGCAGGTTGGATGACAGAGTAAGAAAAAAAAAACAAAGCTCTGTCACTGGGCCAGCTCAGCATTTGATTTTATCAGTCCACAGCATCTTCTGCATCCAATATTCTTTATCTATTTCTCCCTGCTGGACACTTGAGAGGCACAAAGTAAGGTGGCAGAACTGTTTATCTTATCAAGAGATCCTGGCAGAAGCCCTGCAGGTTGAAGCAGCCGAATGTTTAATCTGCTCCAGAAAATTCTCTCATCAAGGATATTTTTATGTAGTAAAATAAAATGTTATCACTATATAGCATACATGACTTTTTACAGGTAGTGCATGCTCACTATGCCAGTATCTGGAGGGCACAACTTCGCATTTAACAGATTAACTGCCAAATGTTACTTACACTTTGTTATGTAAAGATCTGTGCAGGAACCCACCGGTTGTTGCCGAACAGGACGCTGGGTTGCGCGCTCCTCTGCCGACTGCGATTTGTCCAAACTGGAGGAATCGTTGCCGCTGATCCCGCTGAAACCTGCGCTCTTAGCGGACTCCACGCGCTCGTCTGGCATCTTTGCAAAACTCTGCTCGAACACTCCCTGAAGCAAACACGTGCACAAGGGCAGAGAAGACTAGGGTGAAACAGCAAGCCCACAGGAGAGGTTTGAATTCTTTAATTATTAAATGTAATCAGTCACAACACACCTGCAGCTTTCTGGCCATGCTGACGATGGCATGGTCGGATGGGTTGTATTTGTAGCAGTTGGAGAAAATTAACCGCACATCTGCAGCGAATGCTTGTGTGTCCTCATATTCTCCTCCGTTTAACTTTTTCTGAAAATGCAAAACAAAGATGAGTTAACCAAAAACAGAGTGTTTGTATTTGTAAATGTGTACATTAAATATAAGTAAATGGGATGCATAATATTGGATTTCCCTTGTTACTCTATTTTCTAACTCATTTTAACAAATTGTCAGTGTCAGTACTGATGTATGCACATTCTTCTCACATAATTGCAAAGAAAATCAAGTCTCCCAATGCAGTGGAATTAACATAATATTCTACCGACTCTTATTAAGGAGCTCTGGCAGGTGCAGACATAAAATACAATGTTTTTCCAAGTGTGCACGTTCACCATCCACAACAAGACTTCTACTTTAACATGCAGTAAAACTTACAAAAGTGTTTTTAGGTATCAATTTCAAACAAAACTATTTCACTTTTAAACCTTTCTTGGCCGATACCGATGATGATGCCACTATCGTGCATCCCTAATGAGCACCAGAATTTCCAGACGATAAGCCGCTACTTTTACACATGCTTTGAACACTGCGGCTTAAACAATGATGCGGCTAATTTATGGATTTTTATGATTTTTATGAATTTGCCTCGAGACGAAAGTGACATTGAGAGTGACAACGAAAGAGAGACTGAGGAAGTGTGTGATAAAGTAATTCTGAGGCTGTTCAAGTTCGACACTGAAGAAGACGACTTTAGTGGTTTTAGTGCGCAGGAGGAAGACGAAGATAGCGATCAGTGACTTTTTCTGGTAGGCTGCTGTATTTTTTATTTTTTTAACCAGCCGTGTTACAGGCACTGTTTGGAAAAAAGCATTTACATATTTGATTAAAAGTTTAAAAAATCGTTCTGTGTAACATCTTTCTGTGTTAATATCTCATGTTACAACGTGGACACCTGCAGCTTATAGATAAGTGCGGCCTGTATATGTACAAATGTTTTTTTCCCTTTTTAAAGTTAGTGGGTGCGGCTTATTTTCAGGTGAGCTCAATAGTAAATAAACTCAACGGTAAATAGAGAGTCAAATTACTTTAACGGTGCTGAGGTCCATGGGGTATTTGATGATGTCGTGGTAATCGTGCAGCTCCAGGGCTTCGACGTCTACAGGTTTGTAGAAAGGCCAGGCGTAGGATGAATGCTTCTTAGACAGCAGTTCCTTCAGGACGTCATTGCAGCACTTGAGCTGTTCGCCCGGGCCGCCCTGCGCGGTTCCCTGTTGTGGCGACTCCTCCTCAAAGTCGCTTTTCGAAGGAGTAACGGATACGCCTGCATTTTCACGCCTCCTCTTGCTTTCTGATAAATCATTGAAAGTGATTACAACTGGTAAGCACTTTAAAATACAGCAACATAGACAGACAGCAGTGCAATTTCAAACAAACACAAGTACTAAAGAGGGGGCAACAAACTAACACAATGATACTCAGAATGTTTTTTATGCTGGCAAAAATCTGAACTATTGCTAAAATATTTATACTATTCATACCAAGGGCAGTCCTGAGGTCCTTCGTGTCTAAGTAGATTACAGGCTCAGACAGCTGTAAAACTCGAAGCCTGGCTGGCCTGCATGACTTTGTGCTCAGAAAACCACACACAGACAACTCTGAAGAAGCATGCCACTGAATAAAACATTACAATTATCTATTAATTGTACCGAAAAAAGAATAGCATGTCTGTGAGGTTTCTAACAGTTTAAAATGGTAGATTTATTGTTTCTATCGTTCTTCTTAGTAATCATTCTCAATAACTAGTTTCAGACATTCTTCCCACGTAATCTCCCGGTTGTGTTGGCACAACATGCCACAAGTCAGAGCCGTCATTCCTCAGTGAATACATTCATCATATTATGTACTCTGCAAGATACTGAGCATCTCATCATTGACACTTTCCTCCTTCCTGCATGTGACCCCTGTTTGTTGTGCAGTTTCCCAACCTTCAGTTAATAAAACATCTGTACATGTGAAACAGCCTGACGTTGTGTTACTTCGACAGAGAAGCAGATTCATTACCTGGGGTGCCACTTTTTTTGCCCTTTCCTTTGGCTGTGTGGGGTAAAATCTCCACTTCCGTCAGAGGCATGCCGGCAACTTTCTGCAAGAAAATCTTTTCCAAGGCGAGGGCCATCAGCACGATGTCATCTGTAGGCTGGAGAACAGAGGGGAACGTGAGGATCTGTCAGGAAAAACCGGCGCTGTGCTGTTCCAATAACAAGGCTCCTCACCTTGTTATATATGTAGCAGTTGGTGAACATGGTGTTGAAGTCTTGCATGCATTCACTCGCACTCGAATAGTAGTTGTTCTCCAGTCGTTTCTTGATGGTTCCCATGTCCATGGGAGATGTTATTATCTTATGGTAATCCTTAATTAAGACAAAGAATCAGTGTGTCAGAACATAATCTTTGGGGTTTTTTGTCCCAGTTTGTCATAAATATCTGCCAAATTTTGTCTGTGGTGAAGAAATTAATTAGTGCAGCATTTCAGCACACACTTTTGTTCGGTTTATTACAATTTGGATCTTATTTTGATAGTTTTTTGGGCCATAATTGCTGTCAGTCAACAAGATGAAGTTAGAAAGCCCGAAAGACGGACAAATTTGAAAATATTTGGAACTGAAAGTGCAAATTAAAGCAAATGGTTTTTATTATCACCAAACTTGCTGTTGATGTGCCGCAGTCGTCTGTAATTTTTTTCTCTTCAAACAAAGTGGTTCTGATCGTCTAATTATCTGATCACAGCCCTGCTTGACTTTGTTGTATCGACAGCATAACGTTCCCAGATCTCAGCGATTATTTCGGTGACTGCAATGTTATCTTTACAAAAAAGAAACTGTGGCCAAAACTACACAAATATGAGCCCATGTTGCAATAAATTAGAATAACAATGGACAGTATCTAACTGTATATACATATTTTTTAATAAGCTAAGATTTGGAGATATGTGTCTTTTTGAATTCTGCACCACCTCAGTTAATGTGACTGAAGTTTGATTAATTTCCGTTGCTCTGGATGATCCCCTGAGCTCACTGTAAACAGTTTTAATTGGACCTAATAATAAACTACACAAGAGACTATTCAGGACAGAAGCTACATCCAATTAGTTTATCAGACTTAAGAACTAAAACACCTTTTTTAAAATTGTAAGTCATTAAGTACTGACACGTTAAAAATGCAGGATCAAGCAGATTATCGGATTGTTATTAATGTATGAGTACAAGCTGTCAACAAGGCTGAGATGAAAGTGTGACACCACATTTCAACACCTGTATACTCACTGTGCTGTTTAAGTGGGGAGTGCATGAGAATTAGGAAGCAATCAAAACAGAGGAAGAAACAAAGAGAAGGTGTCAACACATCACAGACAACAACGTGAACAGCCGTAATGAAAGAAAGCCAACACAGAGGAGAAAGAGAGGATCTGGAAGCAGTTTTACTCCAGTGAAAGAAGATTAAAACAGATGCTTTTCTACAAGGCAACACAGAAAGTGTGTATAAAAGCTAATTCAGGCATCCCCATGAATATTTATCACAATTGCAGCCTCTACAAATGCAACAGATAGGTTTATGTCAGGACTTATTTCATGTTTTTGGCTTACAGAGACAAATGAATATTTTCATTGTCAACTCATCTGGACGTTACATTTGCAACTGAATAATCAAAAAAGCCAAAATATGTAGTGTAGAGTGTAATATGACCAATAAAGCAGCAAATCATCTCATTTAAGAGTCTGGAATTAGGGAATATTTAGCACTGATGATGATTTTCTTGCTTAAAAATGAACGAGACAATTCCTGTATCAACAAAAATATGATTTTTATGTCAGTCGACTGATCTTCAGACTTGACAAGTGCAAACTACTCACTGCTAGTCCAAGAGAGACTGCATCGACGGGCTGGTAGAAAGGCCAGGCGTACTGGTGCCGCCACAGGGACTTGACCACTACATTCTGCATGTATTTCAGCTGGTTGGTCCTGCGGCCAGGCCTGCTAGGATTGGTGACCTCGGGAGGTGGAGGGTTCACAAGCTGTGGAGGGTCTGGGTCAGCGTCTGCTGACATGGTGGGGGGGAACAGCCTCTGCTGCTTTCTGTTATCTCCCGTGGATTACGTCGCCTGTCAGCTCATCAAAGAACGTGAGGGAACCCGCTTCATACGGAGCTTTCATACCACACGATGGGACCTGTCGACAGAAGCGGATAAACAGTTAGAATAGCCAGGATCTCGTGGTCCAAAGAATAAAAACAAAAGAAAGATTCAGCATTTCTCCGAAAAACAAAGTAATTATTTCTTTGTAAATCAGAATCCTGATAAAATCATTTTAAAATGTACTCCTTTGTCTTTAATGCAGTTGCCTCTCCAGTAAAGCTCCATCCACAATACTATATAATTATGCGATGAATGCGATGAATAATCAGTGAAAAGTTTTCTCCTAATTAAACATGCATAAAAAAGTCATAATCAAGGGCCTCTCAACGACGTTTTGTGCATTTTTTAAGTGGTATTTTAAATTGTGATACCCATTTATTTCTGTTTTTGAACCGCAAATGGTCCAAATATCTGTATCTGTCACTTTGATGACTAATAATCTGTATAAGAATCAGCCTTAAAAAAAAAAAAACACTGGTCAACCCTCACATAACATGTTTCTGATTATTATATGTTCGTGTAGAGCAACCCATACCCATGATATACAGCTTTAGTAAGAGTGTAAGAGCTCAGTGGGCTTACCACTCAATCTTTGGTTTTATTTACAGCACTGGGCATGTGACTGATTTGAGTGCATTCGTTTAGTTTGTAGACAAGCCAAGGAAGGCTTGCATCAGTGGTGACATATTTATTAATAACAGAATTATTTTAAATCAGAACCAGAATCTGAATCAAGTTTTATTACTCGGTACGTTTTCACATGCAAGGATTTTGACATGATTTGGTGATTTGGTGCATCACAGGAAACGCTGACAAGTACAGAATTTTTTAAAAGGATTTAAAAATTTAATAAACAAAGCAAGTTCTGCAGACAGTAAATGGTGCAGCTCAAATAAACAGCAAGTGAAGCAAATCAGTGGCACTGTAAGTAATAAAAGTAAAATATATATCAATGCATGTTCAAATAATTTGTTTTCATTATGATCATTACCAAGTGGGGGAAAAGTTATATCAGTTGAGGCTTGGAGAGAGAAACTGTGAAGCATTAAAGGTGCAGCACATCTAAATAACAATATATATATTTAAAAAACTAAAACAAATAGTAAATAATTATTTTACTAGTTGACATTCCTGCCATTATAGTGGGAAAACATTACCAGCACAGCTAATAAAACACCAACTAAATGGACAAACGCAAAGTGTGTCAAGTGTGAAATGAGCTCATAGTTGTTAGCTTAACTTTGCTAGCTGGTTAAAGTACAAGGGTTGAGTGATAAACACGAGCCGACATTTCAAATAAAGATAATTAAAATTAACTTCTGTAAAGCCTACTTAGACGTCTGTTTACGACAGTCTCGCTTTGTTTATAGGTTGTCAACCTTTTTTTTGTTTTGTTTTTTTAGCAAACTTTCCTAAACAGAGCCCTGTCCGAGTTACCTCTGCTAGCCGTTATCTGCGGATAAAGTTAGCATAAATACCACTGTACTTGATTCGCAGGGGATCATGGGAGGGTCACGGGGGAAAACACACACGAGATAAGCTGCTAAAGTGTTCACAAACTCTTGTTCTAATGAAGACGGAGTTTTGAAGCTGCTCTACTTAAGAGGCAAACACCGAAGCCGAAATATAATACAAAAGTCAACATATGCTAACACCAGAGTGCGGTTAGACGGACTGAAAACTTTCGGACAGACCTGCTGCAGGCGTGGCTGCAGGGAACGTGCGCTCCTTCGTCGTTAGCTTCATTAGCCGTCTGCTGCTAACGGTGAAAGGGACACAGCGCCGCCTGCTGATCGGGAGCATGTTCAGGATTTTATTTGATTGCATATTTTCAAAACGGTTGAATTAAAATGGTTTTTTTTTAAATTTTTTCCTTTTCGGGTTTTTTTTTTGGCCGGCAAATTCCTTTATTTTAGTTTTTTTGCCTTGTTTCCCTTTTGGTTCTTTTCTTTGTTTTTTGAGGTTTTTATTGCCCCGGGTCTTTCCCTTTTTTCAACTTGGCTTTTTTTTCTTGACCCTTTGGGACCCTTCGGTTTTTTTTTTGGGGGCTTTTTATTTCAACCTAAAGTCAGAACAATCACCTACAGTGAGACAGTGTTTTGTTATTACGGCTCACATGTCTGGACCAGGCTTCTAGATGACCTGGGGGCAGCAAAGAGTGTTCGTGTTTTGAATGGCAAACTCAAGGCCTATCTTTTTGGTCATTCTTTTGATTGATTTGATAGATTCCATTTAAATATTATTCTTCTTAGAACTACTTTACAATAATTGATTTCTCTATTTATTCTCATATGTACATATATTAGTCTGTACGATGTATCGTTTAGTACTTCATTTTTTATTATGTTCTTATTCTGTTTTCTTCTAATTTGTCCTTTACCTATTTATCTATATTTCTATTACGGATTATTTATTTATTCTTATTTTATTTTTATTTATTTTATCCTCTTGTGTTTCTTCACTGCATTTGTTTTTTAGCAGAGCATATCCTCAGCTCCTCAATCCCTGGGTTTTTGAGTCCTTCATATAAAATATGATGTTGGGGGTGGAGAGTTGGTTGTATGGTTTTGGGGATTTTTATTTCTTTTACCCATAAAGAACTTTCATTTTCATCTGTATGAAAAGTCTGATTAATTGATAACATTTACTTTACTATTGTGCTTCCTAGTGCCCTTTGTTCACCATTTTGGCTGGAGGTTAAAAAAGGTGTTTGTTTTTTTTTCTTTAAAAAAGTAGTTATATCGTCATTTACACGTTAATCAACATATATTTGATTTATGGGAGAAAAATGTGAGTCTGAGGCAGTGTTATGATTGAAAAAAATGATTGGGTATACATATGGCACGAAAGAACATATAACAATTTGCTTATTAAAAGCAAAGATAGTATATGAAACACACACAGCAATATGAAAAAATAAAAAATAAATTTAACATCCCGGACCAGAGCAAAAGTGATTTTAAAAAGAGAAGGTATTTTCGTGTTTGACAATTGACCCTCATTAGTTTCCGTTACTTCTTAGCGCACCACGCATGCGCAAATCCTCAGCACACCACATTCCCCGCTTCTCCTCGCAGGTCCTCCCCACAGGACAACATCCGAGAGCAAGACCTCAGATTTACGCCTTCTCCATGATCGTCTGAGTAAAAATACGTGATTTTTTCTTTCCCCATCCTCACCAGGAGCAACAATCTGACCGCGGAGCCTCATTATTCCCCGTGAGTATCGCCTCATGCCTGAAACCTCATTGTTTGAATGGAGGGCCCCTCCGTGGCAGCTCAGCCAATTTGTCAACAGCATCAATGCACTTAAAGCAGGCGGCTGCATGAGCAGGCTGCGTGTAGCTGTCGAGTAAAACCAGCGTATTTACGATTAATTCCCATTTTTCTGTTCAAATCCTAAATCTTGAGATGAACGTGCAGCTATTGCATCGACATGATCAGCGTTGAACTTCTCAGTAAAATGATTCCGTGTCGTCCTTTGTTTGAAATTCCATTTTTCCCGCATTTAGTGAATTTAAACACGATTTATCGTTCGTGTATTTGAAATAAATTCCAAATAATGTAAGCTGGCTGCACGAAATGTTCCTGTTTAGCCGTTTTTCGCAGCCATAACAAGGCACTTTAACGTTAGCTTGCTAAAGCTAGCTGAACTAGCTACATTTGAAGCTAAAGCAGTTATGACGAGTTATGTCTGTTTAACAACGCAGCAATAGAAACTAGCTGCAGCCTTGACCAGTAGTTTTAAATACAGTGTTTACTGAGAAATACAACAGCCATGAATTCAATCATCTCTGTTGAATAGCGACCACAGTCTGCCTGACGAGCTTAAACATCACAGGAGCCCCTGAGATTATCTTTGATCAGTTTGTAATCAGAATGGGGACCAACACATGCAAATAAGTGGTTTCTAGTGGTTTGGTTTACATTTTAATGCATATGTAGTATGCAGTATACACTAATGATGTCTTGTCACTTAAGGGATAGGTTTATCCTTTCATTGCTAATAATTTAAATCTATAAATGTTTGTCTTTCAGATCTGAATACAGGTAGAAACCCAGTGTTACGGAGGCTTACAAAAGTGCAAATCTGTGTGCAGTTTCTCACACGTTTCTCCACCTTGCTTGTCCATGAATGGCACAATTACTAGTTACTTACTCATTAAGACTTATTTCAACGTCTGTTCTGTTTCAGGATAGTGCTCGATAGATGCTGATTTCCTCACCATGGCCACAGAAGACAAGAAACCAGAGACTGACACAAAACCTCCAGTTGTCCCGTCAGCATCTGCCAGCCAAAGCAAGGTCTGGATTTAAGGATGGTTGCTAATGTTTCCCGTTCTATTGTAACGGCAGCATTTTGCTTCTTAGTGTACAAAGCATAATTCTGTTTGTATTGTTATGTAGGGGTGAACCATTAGTCGGAATTGCAATTTGAAATAATGCAATTGGCAAATTGCACAGGCTGACATTTAAGATAAACAATGTGCAGATATTCAATAATGAAACTAATATTGCACTGCATTTTGTTTAAGTCAAGCAGAGTGAAACGTTCAAGGCTTGCCAGTGTTGCTCATTCATTATTGTTTACAACGGGGTTCAGGCGCTCACGGTTACTATTTTATAGCATCTTTTTTTGTTTTTTGCACATCTGACCAGGATTTAAACTGTTGCCATTGGTTTTGTAAATTGCCATCCTCATTGACACTTTTGATGGTGTCTCATGGGGTAATCCTCTCACACGTTTCAGATTTAACACACAGTGAATATTGAACTGAAGCTTGACTTATTTAAAGTTCACTTTCTGTCAGAAAAGTTACAATGAGAGATTTTCCCCAAACTGTTGAGTCCTGTACGATTTTAGATAAATGTTTGCCTATTTGTCACACATCAGTTTAAGTTTTTAAATGTCATATTGTCTTTTCATTTCCAGTCTGCACCCGCAAAGCCAAACTACAGCCTGAAGTTCACATTAGCGGGCCACACTAAAGCCGTGTCCTCTGTCAAATTCAGCCCGAGTGGAGAATGGCTCGCCAGCTCATGTGAGTTCTATTTTCCTTTTTTTTTAACCTCCACTGTCACGTTTCCTTTAACCCACACATGTCTTACCATAAGTCAGGGTTACAGTTACTGAATATTTTCATTACTGATTAATCTGTAAGTCATTTTATCAAATAAAAAAATAAAAATGCAGTCCAAGGTGACATCATTTCTTACTTTGTTTGATTAACTGCCCAAAGGTGGTTGTTTTACTGTCATGTATGACTTGAAAATCAGCTATTTGAGAAGCTTTAGGGATCCAGAGAAAACTGTTGCCTGTCAAAAGCCACATGTGGTGCCCTCTAATGCCATTATTCATCATATACACTGATCCCTAATTATTGCATATTTTAAGGAGCCTACCTGATTGTAAACATGAATTATTGTAAAGGAGAATTAAGCTTCTTGTAGGTTTCTGCCCACACAGTTAATAGACCTTTTCCACATCAGCCATTTTGACATGAAATAGTGTTACTAATCACATTAATTAAGGCTCTGAAATAGAGCAGCTGTTAATATAAAAAACACAATACCTGTTCCTGACTGATCAGAGCTTCTGTAATTAAGGCTTAGTCCACGCGTACGTTGGTGTTGTTAAAACAGATTTTTCCTCCGTTGTTCTGAGAAAAAACAGCCCATCTGAAAAAAAAAAAAAAGCAAATACATGATTTGGCGCTGTCAGGAGCGTAGTAAAACAACAGTGATGCTATAACCCCAAAGCCTGAAAATAAAAACAAGCTTTTACTGTTTGTGCTCAGCTGCCAGCGATGGTGCATTAAGGAAGAGGCAGGTTTCTGTTCCTCAAAATAGTCAAAAAGTAACCGCACACTAATTTGTAAACATGTAATGTCATCCGGTGGAATCGTCTTAACAATTACCAAACCTTATTTATTAGTTTTTATTAATTTATTGACGCCTTCATTGTCAGATTTGTCAAAACATGCCACAATAATGTCTAGGGTATTGTTTCCATGTTCTCCTGCCCACATATTGGTTTTAAATTAAATTATTAATATAATAAACCAGCGCCTAAAATAAGAAAACAAATTAATAAATTGACTCAAATTATGTGAATCTGCAGAATGAACTCCACTTCAAGTCATGGGAAAAAGCAGCTGGTGCTGATGGGAAGCTCTGTTTTCCACCCAGGGATCTATGTTCATGGAGGCTTTAGAAACACTGAGTGAATGTTTATTTTGTCTTTACAGCCGCCGACAAACTCATCAAAATCTGGGGAGCGTACGACGGCAAGTTTGAGAAAACCATATCTGGACACAAACTTGTGAGTTGAACAGATTCTTATCTTCACTGCTGCGTTGCTTATGGTTTTGTTTGTTGTGGGGGAGATGGGCTTGTATTTGTTGTCCTTGTTCCTGCCCACATGGAGCAGTTGGAGCGTCTGTGATCATATGGCACGCTGTTTTCACATTTAATAGCTGGACTGGATATGCATTGGAGATATCTGTAATTCAGTTGTTCCTCGTCAAAACAAACATTTCAGAAATCCACATCAACACTTTCCCTAAGACAACAATCTGACTATTTGTGTGCTGAGGGTTTCTTATTACACAAATCTGCAGCTTCACATATCAACACTGTGACCTGCTAATATCTGCTGCTGTATTCTGACTAATTGTACTTTCAGTTTCATATAACTACAGCTTAATTCTTCGGCTTCGTACACCACAAGTGGAGGCCGAGGTGGCTTGTTTTTGAAACGTAGAAAGTTTCTGCATTGTGTTTTACCGCCATGTCAGAGCAGCAAAGAAGTTGGAGGAAACTTTAAGTCTCCAATGAACAAAGCTCTCCACAAACTCCCTGCTGATGAGCTCATCCTATTTTATTGTATTTTAACCCCACACAGCAGCTAGTTCTGTTAACAATGCCTCACGTGAGCAGCGTCATGCACAACAACTCACCCTGCTGTTGGAGATATCTGCAACCATTATTTCGACTAGTTAAAACTGAATTACAGATGTTTTTGTCAGTTATAATGACGTCATAGATGTCTTGAATAAAGACTCTGACGTGTCACAGTGTAATCACAGCTCGTCAGAAGGACTCTGGATTGTCAGACGCAGCTACTAAATATTAAAATGGCTCATCGTGTGAGAATGATGATTAAAAAAATGTTTTCTAGAGTAGCAGCAGCTGCATGCGACAATAAGACACATCCATGGTTTCATTATTAATGCATTGGATCTATACTCACTGTCCTGAGAGCTTCCAGTCCTCATTTCTTTCCCATGATCCTTCAGGGCATATCTGACGTGGCCTGGTCTTCAGACTCCAACCTCCTGGTGTCTGCGTCGGACGACAAAACCCTGAAGATCTGGGACGTGAGCTCGGTAAGAGATCCGCTCGACTGGAATCTCGGCGCGCTGCTTTAAGCTGCGATTCAGTCAGACCGTCTGCGCTCGACACATTACACATTCATGAAGTATGAAAATGAAATCCATGTACCGTCTTTGGGTTCATATCTGTGGTTCGTGTCGGTGTGAAAATTTCATCAAAGCTGCGCTGGCTTGTTTCGCGTGAAGCTGCCGGAGACGGGCTGACACCGGCGCTGCTGTGGGTGATAAACGCCACCTTTCTTTTTTTTCTCTCATCCAGGGGAAATGCTTAAAGACTCTGAAAGGTCACAGCAACTACGTCTTCTGCTGCAACTTCAACCCCCAGTCCAACCTTATCGTGTCAGGATCGGTGAGTACTGAGCTTTTGGCTACAAAAAAACAAAAAACAACAAGCTGTAAATGGAAACCAGATGTTGGATCTTTTTGTTGAAGCTTGTCTCTGTGTGGTTTAGTAAAAAAAATAATGAGGAATATGTGCTTCTTTTTTTTTTCTTGTAGTTTGACGAGAGCGTGAGGATATGGGACGTGAAGACGGGGAAGTGTTTGAAAACGTTGCCGGCTCATTCTGATCCCGTCTCTGCTGTAAGTCTGTCGCCTTATTGCTGACATTAGATGAATCTTCTGGATTTAGGATGAAGGCGGTACCAACTGTGTGATGATCTGTGTCGGCCTGCAGGTTCACTTCAACAGAGACGGTTCCCTGATCGTGTCCAGTAGCTACGACGGCCTTTGGTGAGTCCAGACTGTGTTAGAATAATATACTACGCTATAACGTCCGGCTGTAGTTAAAACCACAAAAAACAAGCTCGTCTGCTTTGACGGGAGCTGGCAGCGCTCCACGCTGGACATAATAGCGCTGCGCTTGATCCAGAGGAAAGCTCTCTTCCGTGAAGGAATAAATGTTGTGCTTCACTTTTTATCACGCTGTAATTGATGTGGATGACTTGCATTTCCATTCATCCGACGCCTGTGTTTACCCACTGCGCTGGCCGACAATGAAGAGGCCTCAATGACTCCCAATTGAATAGCGGTTGTGTTATCTTTCATTCGCAGTCGAATCTGGGACACGGCGTCGGGGCAGTGTTTAAAGACGCTCATAGGTAAGATCAAAACAGGTTTCATTTGTCACAGAAAACAGTCATTAAATGGTTCAATCAGTGATGGTTCTTTGTAAAGCCCATTTCAGACACGCGATCGGTGACATTAGGTTTCTAGAAAAGACGTCTCTGTGTCTGTTTTAACACGACACAACGTTGTCAGTAGGGACAGTGCTGGGGGAAGCCTTGGTCCACATTTCACCATCAGTATTGGTCCAGAAACAGCACAGGGAGCACAAAAAAGACTTTTTTTTGTCCAAAATGTTGCTTAACATTCAGCTCCACTGTGATTACGACTAACACAGAACTAAATAAAGAGACTGGCCAATAATTAAGGTTTTGACAAAAGCTTAAGGTTAGTTTGTTGCTGCCAGCTGTTTGTAGGAGTCTTTCCACTAAGTTTCTTAAAAAGCAGCAGGATCCATATGAACGCAACCAAAGCAAGACATGACAGAGTTGTATGTGTTTATGCACATGCAACAACAAGCCAACTTCATATTTGATCTGTAATTATAAACGATCCTTGTTAACGAGCCATCTATCAGGGTAGTTTCATGGTACTGGGGGGTAAAGTAGTAGTTAGATTCTCATCACACATGGACAGAGTTTTCAGTTTTTGTTTTTTTGATAAAGTTGCTATTAGTTTAGCTTTTTTTGTTTCTGAGTGCATTTTTGAAGTAAAAGTGTCCGAATGCCGTCACTTCACCCGACTGATGTGTCTGAAAAGGGCTTTATTAAAGTGCTGAAAGGGTTTATTTTGTTATTATTTACTCCTACTTTGGTCCTGACTGTGTTCTTGTGTTTCTGTCAGATGACGACAACCCTCCTGTGTCATTTGTGAAGTTTTCCCCCAACGGGAAATACATCCTGGCTGCTACACTTGACAAGTGAGTGAACCTGCACGATAGTAAAGTTTACACGATGTTCGCCTGCAGAGGGCAGCAAACACCACGATGAGCTTTATATGAGCAGTCAGTGTTTTGATGGGAGTTATTTAACGCTGCTGTGTTTGTTTGTTTTTCAGCACGCTGAAGCTGTGGGACTACAGCAAAGGAAAGGTAAGCTGCTGTGATATGTAAAATTGCTGAAATAATCATTGTTCTTTTATTTGAAGTGCTTTTATTCATTAGTTTGTTTATTGGATGAGTTTGAAAAGTGTTTTTAGTGTAATTTCATTATTTTTGGATGCAAATTTGTCGTAATACGGAAACCTTGATGATATTAACAAATGTCATTTTGCTTTATGCTGTTAATTTACAGATACATTTTACTGCTGCTTATATTTTTAACTGTGCGATACAGATGATTAACATTTTGTTGTTTTTCCAACATTTCAGTGCTTGAAAACGTACACGGGCCATAAAAACGAGAAGTACTGCATATTTGCCAATTTCTCTGTCACCGGTGGGAAGGTAGGAGCTCATGTCTCCATGAGCATGTGACTGGTTTTGGATGCACATTATCGGTATCAGCTGATTGAGCCTCGAACATCGGCAGGCAGATAACATCAGTCAGGATAAAAGTTTGCAGGGAAATGTTGCGGAAAAGTAAATGCAAGTGGGCATGTTTTTTTGTTTTTTTCCAAGTTTTGTCCATTTGATTGTACTTTATGTCTGAGTCAGACTTTACGAGGGATTTCGAGGGTCTTTGTGGTGCTAATTTCATCATCTCAAAGTGGACAAGAAAATATTCTAACAACTAAAATGACACATCTGTGGTGTCTGCAAGGGAGTGTAGTTAAGGCTGAAGAGTTGGCACAATAATATCTTAATTCTGATTAAAGGAGAGATTTGATGTTCTCTACAATTAGGTGGAAAATGTGCAAATATCAATACCTGGTCAACATGAGTTTGAAAATAGCAGCCGAGTAGACATCAGCAGGAATCCAATACTGTGCATCCCTGTTTTAATAGAAGTTTCTGTTTGGTTTTCAGTGTTTTTAAATTATTTTTACCTGCAGACTTTGCATATTTTCACTCTTTTGAAATCACTGACTTGTGCGTTTGCTCTCCTGCAGTGGATCGTGTCGGGCTCAGAGGACAACATGGTTTATATCTGGAACCTGCAGACGAAGGAGATTGTGCAGAAACTCCAGGGCCACACAGGTACAGCAACAAAACACTGATTTTTAAGTCTCCCTGGGGCTAAAGTATTCCAATCCTAATTTATTTATTCCAATGCCGTTGTCTTTGGGGGCCACATGCATCGGTTGGTTCCACCGATCAGTTTTTAGAACAGGTATTTGTGGCTCTGTGTACATATATTACAATTGGGATGTGATATGTTTGAAAACTCATTTGCAGTCGTGCACTTTTTAAAAACTCACCTCCATTGTTTTCAGACGTCGTCATTTCGACCGCCTGCCACCCGACAGAGAACATCATCGCATCGGCAGCTTTAGAAAACGACAAAACCATCAAGCTATGGAAAAGCGACTGCTAAGCCTTTTTCTTTTTTGTTTTTTTTTTGGATCTTTTTGGCCACTCATGTTTTTTTTTTAAATATTTTTTTTTCTACATTTTGTTGTAAGAGAAGCGGACCTTTTTTTTTTTTTTTCTAATGGAGAGCTCCTGCAGGACGCAGAGAGCTTTTTAGGTAATGAAATTCAACAAGGAGAACCAAATCAGACACATCAGCCACACAGTTCCACGGCGGACCTTACACCCACTCTCTACAACGCGTGCCACATTTTGTCGTCTTATTACAGAAACGAGTGACTTCTGTCCTACTCAGTATTTTCTGACTCTGCGTTAACCTTGATGTCACTGCCTCGTAGCAGCTTCTGCACACACGTCTCTGCTCTTGTACAATAAATGTAATGGTTATTTGGCCTTTGTATGATTTCTTTTGCCTTTTTGAGTTTGTCTGTGTAACCGTGCAGTATCAATAACATCAAGCTTTAGATTTAAACAAAAAAAAAAAGGTATCTACAGATCCTATCTGTTATTTATTCACGTCAATATTCGTTTTTCGTTATAATATCGGTTGTCAGATCTGAAGTACACACCGTGACAGGATAGTTTTCGAAATTCTCTGCTAATTTTGCAAGACTGTGATGTGACGGTGGGGAAGTGAATGATTTGACAAATCTCCGAGATGATTTTTTTTTTTTTTACAATCCTATTGGAGCATTAAATTGACCCCCTTTAAATAATAAAAAAATAATAATCTGAACATTTTATAGTTTACAAAAGCGACCAAATGCAGTTATTTTGTGTTCTAGTATTTGTACATATGACACTGACATGTATTGCGATTTCATTACTTTAACTGTCTTTTTTTTTTTTTGTTCTCTGCTTGATTAGCTCATAGTTCTGCACACGCAGCCGGCAGCCTCTGTTCTCTGTAGTTAACCTGGACTTTTGTGGAATATATGTTTGCATTGGACGGCTATAACCCGCAACTTAATAAAAGCAGTTTTTTGTATGTTTCACGTTGTCGTGTCGCACCTCTTTCCTGGACGTTGCACAGAATGGACAGGCGTCGGTCACTTTCAGTTTTTTAATAACCATTTTTTCTGTCCATCAAAGATAGAACATCAGAGAACAACCCACAAAGAACAGATGACAAAATTCCATCTCCTTTAAAAATAGACAAAAAATATAATGAAAGAAGACATTCCCGTCTTGCAGCGACAGGTTGAAAAATGGCAAAGTAAAGGCGACACAGTTACCGAAAGTGCCAAAGCCGACCGTTCCTCTCGCCTTACATTTTCAATCTGAAAATTTTCTCGTCCAATAAGCTTTTCCACAACGTATATAAGAGCCCACAGAAGAAAAGGGAAAGAACAGAGTACATGAGCAAGGGATAAAATTACCTTTGTACAAAAATAGATCTTTTTCCAAGTTTTTTTTCTTTTCTTTTTTTTTTTTTTTAAACTCGAACATTTTACTGTCAATGCAACAAAGAAAGCAGTGATTGTGTCACAAGCTCAGCTTTTCCTGATTACACTTATTTTTTTGAACATATAATTGCTAAGCAACACACATTTTGGAGGGTTTAAAGTCTTAACCATTAGTTTTTTTTTCTCTCTCTTTCATAGTTTTTTGAGGTCCCATAAACTGCTGAGAAGCTGGTTCTTTTGAGTTCAGAGCTGCTGCGATTCTGCTGGTTGATCAGGATTCATTTTAAAAAGGTCAAAATGCAAAAAAAAGTTAAAATAAAATCCCCTCAGATACTGGTGAAGAAACACCATAAAACTCTTGGGTTGAAGAACACCTGGTGTGGAACAGTTTGGTCTGAAAGACTTGTCTCCCTCGTTCAATGTTGGAAATAGTCAAGGAACAGATCCGTCTATATATATTTATAAATATATACACATATACATATTAACAAAATATAGCTTTATGTTATAAAGCATTCATGTAAGTAATCATTCTATGTGGGTGATCATTTCTTTATCTCGTCAACAACATCCTTGTCTGTCCCTTTCCTGCAGGGGAGTGAGCTCGCACATCATCCACGTTATGGCTTTAGATACCTGCGCTCACCAATCACAGTAAACTAAAGAGGAGGAGACATCAGACTAGAGAGAACGGGAGGATATTCACTTTTAAAGTTGGGTCAACCAGTGGAAAAACAACTGTTTGATTGCTTGATATCTGCTTTTTGTGATTAAAATCAGCCTCTAAAAGAGAAATATTTTGGTCTTACAAAAAATTTCATCAAGAGTTTCTCTTGAAAATCTATTTTTTTTTGTTTGTTTTAACAGGCAAACAAGTATATAAATACTGTAAACTCAGCTCAAGCTGGCAGTCAATACTGTCACCTGGATAGGTTGTAATAATAATAATAATACAGGCCACCTCATTGAAAATAGCCAATAGGTCATATTGAAGTTATTGCTACTTTTCTCAGTTTTAACATGCACAGACTCTGAGGTTCTGTCTGATCCCAAAAGGAACATTGTTGACAATAACTAGCTGTTAAAAAGTGCCATCTTTTTTTTTTTTTTGTCTTGATTAAATACTTGTAGAAAAATTCAAGTAATGTTGCAGCGCTGCTTCTCTTCCACTAGAGGGAGCTCGCGGCTCTTGAATCGCTCGCTTTCTCTTGTCCGAACTTCACTCTCACCCAAAGTAAACCGTGCAGTTGAGCTCGAGGTGTACAGCGTCTGACATTTCCGAGCTGGCGTGAGAACCGGCTCTTTGCTTTCTTTCTTTTTTTTTTTTTTCCATCATGAGAGAAAGGAGATCAGTGGGCGATTTGGGATCAGTTTCACAGAGGTGGAATGACATTTACATATTTCCTCCCCGAGTGGATGCCCCGTTATGAAACTAGCCCCTCATAATGATAGAAAATGGACATATGGCCATCGTGTCATAGATGTTTTGGTCGAAGTCAGCGCTTATGGAGTCTTGATGGTGCCACCAGAAGAAATAAAGACGTAGTCAGACTTGATTTTCTATACCTAATTATACATATATTAAAAAAAAAGCAATAATGAGTTGGTTCAGTAGCAGGACACAGTCGGCTGTTCGTACTGTGTGATTCAGTTTTTAAATTATCTTAGTAATTCTTCATGTATTAGCACTTCGTCTTAAATTGAAAATGTTCACTTTTTATGCATCATTCTATTGCAATTTCAATTCATATTTATTAATTAAAATTAAACAGAAAGCTTGTACACGTGGCACGCTCAAGACTCCATACGCTCACTCACATTGCATGTTTCTTTATCAAGGAATAATGAAAACACAGTGCTCAGGTTTGTCGTTTTTTTTTTTGTTTCCCAGGTCACGATAGTGTCAAGGTGCTTATGAACGAGTGGTGAGGATTCGGATACAGGCAGAAAATCCTTGAATTCAATTCTCTTTTCTCGCATCGTATCCTTAAACTCTGCCACTGTTCCATAAGACATTTTCAGATCAGGGCTGTTTCTTTCAGCCAGTGGTGGATAAACTCGAATGAATCTCCGAATAACGGGCGAAACAAGCCGTAGAATATTTGCTCCTGTGCAGGAAAACACCACAGTGCACCCATACCTCACCAACACCTGCTTTAAAAGACATCTGACCTGTTTAAGCCGCTCCGTGGACAATCTTTGGAAATGCACTCGATGCATAGTTTTGCAGCAGCTGCGGCATTTAGAGAAAAAAAGGAGAGGAGGAGGAAAAAAAAAAAAGCAGAATATGGGCATAAAGCATATTAATACATAACATGGAGATATTTAACATTTCAGTTCAACTTGAATGACACTTGGTTGTCCAGAGAAGTGCAGAGAGAGAGAGAGCGAGTGAGCGTCCCTCTGAGGAGGAAGATAATTGGGCTGTTTCCTGATCGGGCTCGGGCCAAATTCCACCTCAGAGGTCGGTTACATCAACATCAGCTCTTCGTTTAGGAACCCGACTCCACTGTCATGAGGTTAAGTGCCAAGTAACAAACAAATAAACAAACAAATGGCTCTGCTGCAACGACGAGCACTTCTCTTGCATACTGTTTAGCCTAGATGAGTGCCGAGAACTGAAGCTCTGATGGATGGAGATAAAAGAGGTAATTGTGCATCGCTGTTGTTAAAAATGCAAAAACTGAAAATAACGTCAATACTGTATACGGTTGTAACTTTCTCTACAGGTAGATCTGAGGTGTTTCTGCAAAAGTTAACACCCGCTGCGTTGGGCAGAGGGGTTTCTGAGTGTGGAGGTGTACATGGTGTGCTGAAATTCACATGAAATAAAGAAAGCAGGGGGAGGGTGGAAGGGAGGGACGACGGAGGAGCTCCGAGGCCGGCAAAACAATGATATTTCCCCTACAGACGGGACTGTGCGCTCACTTTCCAGCCGTCCAAGTTGGTCGTGATCACCTGTAAGGTTGCGATGAAGGCCAAATGTTTGACAAAAGTTGCTCCCATCATGTAGCATGAAACTAGCATGTGGCTAATTTAAACAGAGAGTGTGTAGAACAAGCTCTTCCATCTCTGTATTTGAACTGAAGGGCTGATTAGTGGACTACTACGACATCCTCCCCAATGTTGCACAGTGCTAGTAGAGTAAGACATGGTTCTATTTGTTGGAATTAGGGCAGAGACCTGAGTTTTTTTTTTTGTTGTTGTTTTCTTTCTCCAAGCACTTGCAATCTTGTTAACCCACCTCCAGAAAGCTCACACTTCAAAAACAGCTAGTGCAAGACCTGACGTGTTCAGTCGAGTCAGGCGGGAACAGACGAGTTCTTTTAAGCGAACGTGTTCTCTACCCCCCCGACCGTCCCTGCCCGAAGTTAAGTTCAGTCCTGAAAGACAAGAGAGGGCTCAGGTCCGAGTCTAAACAGCCCGAGGCTCCCAAGAGTCCGCGATTGTCCCGATCACAACGCTGAGTGTCCCAATGTGACATCATCACCGCTGCTTTTTTGTGAATATACCTGCAACTGTAGGTGTTAAAACCTGATCATCTCTGCTTCTTTTTTTTTTCTCGTCAAGCTGTACGAAAAGATCAAAACGATGGCTCAATACGTTTCTTCTGTCCTCTTGCCTGTCCTCACTTCAGTCCGCTGATGTCACTCGTGTTGCTGTGTGATTTTTCATATATATATTTCTTATTTATATATTTTTACAAGGTATAAAACAGACCCATAGACATGATGAATTCATTGTTTCGAAACATATCAGAGGGAGTCGAGGGATAAAAAGGGACAGCGGGAGGGACAGGGGGGAAGGAAGGGAAGGTTTTCTCCATCCAAAGTCGTCACGTGATCTGTCCCTTGTTGGAGATTGTTGGGATTTTTCAATAAAACAGGGCCCTGCTCCCGATCCAGGGCTGCTGGGCGATGTTGAGCGAGGAGGGTTGAGAGGGGGAGGCTGGGAGGGCGAGGAGGGCTCAACCCTCGCTGCCATTATGTCATTTGATGCGGGGCTTCTAGCATCTCCATGAGGAAGGTGTCGATGGGCGTGTCGCCGATGAGCTTGAAGAAGAACAAGTGCTCCAGACACTTGAGCCCGATGGAGCGCAGCGCTGGTAACCGCAGCAGCAGCTTGGCGAACCTGTCGTGACACAAGGCCAAAATGAAACACAAGTCCGGAGCAGAATGAAGAAGTCTTGGAAGTTTGAGGGGCATGAGTTATACAAACCATCAAACCACACAAATGGACAACCTTGACATAAACTGGTGCTTGTTTATTCAGCTGCAATGAGCAATTTAAGCAACTTAGCCTTAGAGTTGACCACTTAAGGCTGCAGTAAATTTGACTTTGAACAGTTGTTGAAGCCTCACAGAGAAAGTAACATGTAAAGTCATTCTAACCCAATACTCTTTTTTTGCGTGCAGCTAGCTGTCCATTCTGTGTGTTCCCTGCAAAAACAGTCATGAGCCCTGACTTTGTAAATGGGAAAAAAAGTACTATTTCAATCATTGACCAACAGGGACTTTCATGTTCAAGCACAGGCTGACATTTCCTGAAGACAGCGTGAATTTAGAACAATTTTTAAACATCGTTCCCCCTTGTTTTTGGCAGCTTTTTATGCAACCGCAGAAGTCCGGCCTTGTACACTATATGTGATTGGTTGCCAAGTGGGCAATGTCAAGCAAAAAGCCAGATTCAGCAACACCAGGCTCTGCTTCTTTGCTCATGGACCCAGACCAAGACTACCATCCTTTACCAGGAACCTCCATGCTCCAACCCATCATCAAGTTGCTGCCTCCAGCTCTACCAGGGAGAGGATGGTGTCTACGGTTCTCCCAGCTGGTAAAAATAAGCCATACAATGATCCCTTGCTAGTTTTTACTCAACTGTGTTTTGGAAGCTGAGGTTGTGAACACTGCATACAGCTGGAAGTGTTCTCTTTCGGTTCGCTAGTGCAGTTGTTAATGTCGTTGCGCACATCCATGACTTTGTGGGACAAGGGTTCAAAAAAAAAGGAGCCAAAAATGTGTGGTTGCTTGGGTGTTAAGTTCAAATATCAGCAACTTTTTCTGAAATGGCTTACTCCACCTTTTAAAATAAATAAATAAATAAAACCAAAAAACTTATTTTGTGACCTTTTCTGGCATTTGACTGACTGTCTTCCAAGAACGCGTCTCTGCAATCTATCATTTAAAACAGAACAGCTTACTGTCTGGTGAGCACAGTGAAATTACAACTGGAAGCAGACTCAACAATCTTTCTCCAAAAGAAAAAAAACGAAAAAAAAAGCAACAAAGACAAACAAATAAACTAAACTAATAATAAAATGCAGTATAAGCAATTAGACACAAGTTGAATTCAAAGCTACTGACGAGACTGATCCATTGTGTGAAAATACCTGAAGCAGTTTCTCTGACTTCTACCTGAGAAGTTTTCTGGGTTGAAGCTTTAAACTTTAATTACACTTGGGAGATAAAATAAAATTGTGCAGCCAACTCTTGATTTCTCCATCTCCGAAATGCACACTTCAACTCAGCACCACACACATGAAACACACAATAATGCTTTGGTGTTTGTGATTAGAATCCCACCTGCCAGGCTGCTCGGGGTACTTCTGTTTGCAGTAGGCCTCTAAAGACGCATAGACTTTCTCTCTCAGAGCTTCTACTTCACCTGGGTTGGACAGACCTTTAGAGTCTGTGGAGAGACACACAAAAACAACAACTGTAACACTGCCTGCAGTTATTATTTTTATACACTGGAACATTTTTCTTCACTCTTAGACGATTACGAGCATGTAGAAATGAAAAGAAACCAACACAAAGTGTCCCTTTGACTTGACTGGAGGAACAAAACACCATTCGTCCAAAGGATATTGCCTCATTTGGTATTTTGATGATGGTGTCTAATAAATTTTATGCAAGATCATCAAGAAGTGTTAAACTGGGTTGACATCTGGTGACTGTGAGGGTTATAGCATATGTTTCACGTAAGTTCCACACACATCAATCCATTTAGTGACCCCTTGTGCCCTATGGATCCTACAAAAGGATCTACTCCCATGTTTCATCATAGCATAAAGGCTTTCACTTAGAGCATTTTTATGTTGACTTGCAGTGAGCCCTCCCTATAAGGAACCCAAACAGCATAACAGAGCCACCAGATCCTCTAATTAAAATGGTCTATTACTCAGGCTTTTCCCTTAAACCTGCACTGCAGAACTTTCGTCTCCCCCTTCCATCGACATGTGCCTGTGACGTACGCCTCGCCATCAGTCGCTTTTCTTTTTTAGACTGTAATCCCTCCTCTGAATGCAGTTTATTTTCTTTTTATCTGGAACATCAAAGACTTTCCTTGGTAGGAGGAGATGAGTGTTTTAGCTTTGTTTCATAAGTAATCCCCGTGCATACTAACGTGCCTGTAAAGACATATCACATGGCTGTTCACGTACACTGGGCATGCGGGTGCTGGTGTAAACATGAAGCAGAGGAGTTGGTTGCTTTGCTGCAAATACTATGAAGGAAGAAGAGCAATGGCATAAAGTAAGACTACAGATTTCCTTAATGTAGACAACAAGGTAAGTCATGTCTGTACTCTAATTCTGTATTTATATTGAAGCAAGCACCGGTAATAAAGGCATACATCTTTGCTTTTTTGCAGAAAACAGTTATGTGACAGGAGTGTGACAAATCTGGGGATGAATGCATTAAAAGATCGGCCCAATCAGAAAGCGAACATCCATCCATTATCTATACACCGCTTAATCCTCACTAGGGTCGATGGGGGACTGGAGTCTATCCCAGCTGATTTAGGGTGAAGGCAGGGAACACCCTGGACAGGTCACCAGTCTATCACAGGGCTACACTTAGAGACAGACAACCAAGCACACTCACATTCACACCTACGGACAATTTAGAATCACCAATTAACCTCAATATGTTTTTGGACTGTGTGGGAGGAAGCTGGAGAACCCAGAGAGAACCCACGCTGCATGGGAAGAACATGCAAACTCCATGTAGAAAGATCCCGAGTGACCTCACCGGGACGCGAACCGGGGACCTTGTTGCTGCGAGACAACAGTGCTGACCACTGCTCCACCTTGTAGCCCAGAAAGTGAACATGGGTGTCTGAATCACTAAAAAGTCTTAATTTTGAATAAAAAAAGAAATTGAGAATTTTGATGTCCAGACTAAAAGCAAATCCAGGTTGTTTTTTTTTTAGACTAAAATGGGGTCAGCAGGGATTCCAAAGGTCTCAGTTTTAGAGGACCTTGCAGTGCAGACTGTGGTGTAAATGAAGCATTTTAAAATGCAAACGTAATACATTTACATTTGGATGTAGCCCTACTTGCGGTCGCGTTCCTCAAGCTAGTTGGTCTCCTCTTCAGCTCTGGCAAATCAATTATTGCTTGTTAAAGTAAAATGCGCGTAACCGCAGACCTGTGATTTAAAAATCCAGGATACTGCAAAGTACAGAGATTTACCTTGTGCCAAAAGGCTTAATCACTATTGTGTGAACTCACTGGGGAAAGACTTGCATCAGTTTATGATGGTGAGTTGAGCCTTACTAACTTACAAGTTGAGTTTTAACCCCACAGACCCAGTGTGAACGTGTGTCACCGCATTCTGGGTTAGTCCAATTAAGACCGCAATGTCCACGCTGCGCTAATTTAAGCTTCGCTGGAGGACACATCTTTGATTAACAACACAAACACGTCATTGATTAACATTTCTGATGAACAAAGCTTTGTACAATTGATCAACAATGAATGAACATTTGTTGTTAATGGACGGACCAGACCACGCAGTGTGGGAAAGGAAGGACTGAGGGCCTTTTTAGCCTCGCTGTTCCCTCCTCCACACTCCCCTCCCACCCTTTGCTCTCTCAGTCAGACCAGTCCTGCAAACCCCTAATTAACGAGGAATCAGGCGGAAAAGTGAACCGGGGCCAGTGGGCCCTGGATGTGGCCTGAACAAAATGTGGAACACAGAGGATCAGTGTGTCTGGGGTGTGCAGATACACAGCGGCTCCCACACTGAGTCATTAAAATCCTGGGTCACATTCAACAGGCCGGTTTTGTATACTTAGATACCATTTGGATTAGGTTTAAATACAGAACAGCACACTCATAGCAGCAGTGACAGGGCAACACATAGGCCTTAATTAAAGATGGTCCGATCTTTGCAGGAAGATGTCAGATCTCAGGTCCTCAACAAAGGTCCGAGGTCAGGTTCAAAGACAACAAAACTCTGCTCCCAAATCTCACATTACATTAATGAGGTCAAGCTGAGACACAAATGTCAAACCTAAAGCAATACTCCACCCAACAGCTATGGTTTGAGCAGCTTGAAGGGTGGACACCAGGGATCGTTTGAGATTCTGCCAATCTCAATAGCTGCATGTTTTACTTATAACACAGCATAATCCTCTAATCCTCCATATGTTCAGTGTGTTTAAAATATAAGAACAAATACACAGGGTCTGTATCCTGTTATGGTCCTTTCCGAAACTGCAAAGCTTTGCTGAAGTTTTGTAATTGTCCACATGTAGCTAAAAATATGCAAAATACTGACGGGCAGCGGAGAAGTGGATGATGCAGCAGAAGTGGTTTCTCCCAGCATGAACAATGGTCACCACTGGAATTGTTAGTAACCGAATTCTGAGCCAATGAGGAAAATGCACATTTTTAAGTCCTATTTAAAGCCTAGAGGAGTAAGTTTGAGAATAAAAATAAAAGTCCCTCTCGAGACATTGATTAAAAAAACATCCTTATTGTATCAAAGTTACATATTCAGAAGTTTCTTTTTTTTTCCCAATAAAATATTCCCTTAATGCCTTAAAGAGGGCTTATTCGTAACTCTACCCTGTTGCAAATCCAAGTCTCTCTGCACTGACCCCTTTGCCACTCGCTGCAGCTAGAGCACACCAGCTCACCTACGGCTTTTTTCATTGTAAAATTTCTCTGCACTACAGAATGGCACATGTAATATCGCAGGGACTCCGCCATGAATGTTCAAACCAGAAAGACGAAGAAGAATTCTGTGGAAACTCCCACCCTGCAAGTTGAAGGGGTTGGTTCTATAGCTTTGTTACGTATAAAACCACAGCCTTATGACTAAACAGTTATATTGGTTGCACTGGTGCATCTCAGGTCTAACTGTGTCTCTGGGATAAAATCACTTGGTTCGGGAAATATGACATGAGAATGACTTATTTCACTCGTTTCAAACTATTACTTAGGTGCTGCACTGCAGAAACTAAATGGAGACGAGAAGCTTCTCTGTGCACAGCTGCCTCATTGTGTACGCAGACATAAGTGAGGTGCTTAAGGTGTGACATTTAATAAACACTGGTAAATTGTGGGGTCTACTAGTGCACTGGAGACATTCAGTGAACATCTGCATATTTTAGCATCTACCAAGGGACCTTCAGGGAACTAAACTGAAGCTTTAGAAAACAACCTGGACTGCACTCTCCATGCACATTGGTCATGCCATGTCACACAGCCTGTGGAAAACACAAATACATAATAACACAACCAACATTACACATTGGCTCTATGAGGAAGAGTGTGGCCAGAGCATGGCTGGGAACAGTGCTTTTGCTGTCAAGATTACATTTTGAAACAAAACAAAACAAAAAAACAACAATCCTGTGCCGTGACAGGTGCGTGGCCAGCAGAGCAGCCTCCTCCTGCAGCAGCAAACTGAAGCAGTGAAGAGTCAGACAGAATAAAGCAAAACTGCTTGTATTATAGCCAAATAAAAGCCACCCCCTACCAAGTTCCACAGATGAAAAAGACCAGGTTAAATGTACAATCTGATTTCTCTTATGTGCAGTCTTTCACATTACGTGTTAACAAAATGGAAGTGTAAATGGTAACTTAAAAGGTATTGTTCAGCACCAAAAGGAAAAAAAATCTGTGTGCACCTAAATTATGGAAGGAAGTTACATGTGCCATCGCAAATGATGAAAGTCTGTCTGGAGCCCTGCTGTCTTTCTCAATCAGTGTTTATGAGACAGTCATTGCTACACTGCGGTTTCAAGCTGGAGATGCTCAGCCATGGCACAGACTGATTATTTTTTCTCATTATATGTCTTTTAGCATCTAAAAATAATGTCTGCATATGTTAATAAGGTAAAAAAAAAAGAAAAGATTTTCATCTGAGGGGGAGTTGTGCTGACTATCACTTTAAATTTTTAGTCCTGAATGAGTCATATTCTATTCTTGTGATATGAAGGTCTGTGTCAGCTAGAAGCAGTAGTAACACAACAGCACATTTCACAAGATCTTTAAACTTTAACAAAAACTCAACCGTGTACTGCAGTGCGTTGGTGCTGAGCAGACACAGCCAGCTGGCGCTCCAACACTCACACGGTGGAAATACAGAATGTTTGTCAACTTTGAGACGTTCCCCCGAACTGTGTTGTGACCGACTGATTATTGCTGTGGTGTAAAGTAAAACTGAAACTTGTACATGAATTCACAGCTGCTACGGAAAATGAAAACTTGCACATGATGATAGTTACCTGGGTTGAAAAGGACAATAGCTCGAAGGCACCCCAGTTCTGTCTTATCCATCTGCATGTCCCTCATCTTTGACACCAGTTCTGTGAGCACTCTGCACAAAAGAGACAAAAAAAAACAACAAAGTCAAAGCTGTGGCTCATTAAAAACCAGGCGTGGCAGAAAATACCACTTCAAGTTTTTTTTTAATTCTTGGCTACTAGACTATTTTTGGTGTTATATTAGACAACCAGACGGGTGCCAGAAAACAGTTAAGATCACAGGAAAACCACTTGAGTCTAATTGGTACATTTTTGCAAATGACACACCACTCTTCATGTGAATTATCCAGACTGGTACATTAAAAATATGTTTTTTTCGACCGCCGTCCAGCTCACGTCTATTTAAAAAACAAACGCACACAAGCATGCTCCGAGCCCACATAGGCACCGTTAGATCAGTGGAAAAGTTTACAAGCCTGCAAAGTAATTATATTTAGTACATGGTTTTCATAAAAAGAAAAGCCGCAGAGTAAACACAAGCTGTAATCTAACACCATGCACTCCCACTGTCTGCGCGTGACGTCGCCGGTGGGAGTGTCGGTGCGTGGAGTCGCTCGAACTCCTCACCCCTCTTTGACTCGGTCACACCCTCTCCCCGGCGCTCTTTATTTTCCCTCTCGCTCCGTTTCTTTCTGCCCCCTCGCACTCGCATAGTAAAGTCAATTGTGGCTCTGAGCTCATTCTAATTCAATTTGCTCCGAGGAGAAACAACAGGGCTAAAAAAAAAAAAGAGAGAGAGAGAGAGAGAGAAAAGGACTCAAGTGTTTAAGTTAATCAGTCTCTTCATTTGTATGGGGGAAGAGAGAGAGAGGGGAGTAGATAAAGAAACATTATCAGCTCCCTGTATCTTAATGCTTGCCACGGTTAATGCAGAGATGGAATATGTCCCGTGGCTGGTGGAAGCGCTGATGACGGAGCGTTGAAGCTGGTAATCAGAGGGGCGAGGAGAGCCAAATACTGCAAGTTAAGACTGCTGTTTGTGTGGAGTCTGATGACGGCACCTGTAGCTGCCAACTCCCTGCCAGCTCTGGCGTTGTGCAGCGCACTACAACTGCACTTTTCACCTTTAGGATGAATGAAGACTGCCAGAATTTGTGATGAATAGCACGCATTACAGTTATTATGACATGTATTTTGCTTGCGATACGACGCGAAGCTCTCCAAATTGTGCATCTCAGTTATGCTCAAGTTGCGATGCTGCTGAACACACACCGCAAGCTCGTGTGAGATTTCATGTCTGTCAGGCAGCCCTGCTTCTCTGGAATGTCAATAACAGTCACCGGGGTGGTTATTCTGCACACTCACTGACTTCACTGTGACTGAATTGTGTATGGATTTTTTTCTTCCCTGCCTTTTTTTTTTTTTTTTTTTGACATTTCCTGAGCAGAGTATCTGTGTGACCCCTGATGCTCACAGGTGTACATATTTAATACACTGGAGTCAATCAATAGTTCCTGCGCTGCTTCGCTTGTCATTTCCAGCCTATGTGTCATATTTTACTGAAAGAAACCCAAATGTCACATGCTGTCAAGATAGGAAACCGCTTTTTTTTTTTATTAAAAATGCACATTAAAGTTGTAACTGATGCTTTACTGCTCTTGTCAGCTACCTTTTCCCATCAAATATTGTCACTATTTTTGCTTTATTTTGAATTAAAAAGGAATTTTAAATGACTTAACATGAATAAAAGCATTAGCTACAAGCTGCTTTGAAAGTGGGACCTAAAATGTTATTTATAAAAATGGTATATTAATTCTGGAAGGCACAGCGAAGTGCAAGAAAGTTCAGAAACATGGTAATAATAACCTGTCAAAGATGGCTCCCACTCCGGCGCTGTGGGCGCTGTTGCGGTGGACGTGCAGCCCCGTCGCCAACAGAATCCCGTCTTTAACCGCTATTGAACGGTGCGAAAATGATGCAATGAGGAGTTCATTCCAACCTGGGGACGAGATGAGGAGAGGGGATCGAGGAAAAGTGTGAAAAAAAAAAGAAAAGAAAAAACAGGCAAATCCCAGTACAAAAGTTCACACAGCATTCAAGTAAAATGAAACTGACAACAAAGGGGGAATTCCAATGAATCAATTAAGCTGTGCCGTAAAAGCGTGCAGCTTTCTCAAGCGCAGGCATCAGGTTATTACTAAGACATTTGAATCATGCTTTCTAAAGAGACAAGCGTGTAAAAGGGATGAACTGCGCCTGCCATCACAATAAAGACAACGGGCTTGATGTGCCAAAGCAGGGGCTTGACACAGAGAGCACCGAAGACACAAGACGCTGCTTTTTGAGTGACAGGGTTCCTTTAACTGTTCTGCCTGGCAACACTCGCCTCTTCTCCCCAGAGTTGAGTTGGGTATGAGAGGAGCTGGGATGCTTTTATCTGTGATACAGCAGAACTAAAGCGGTTATTTATAGAAAACCTGAGAGCCGAGAAGAGACGAGCTCTGCAGAATAATGTCTCTCTCTGCTTTGCTGAAGTCTCTCCATCATTGTATGTGCAGAGGATAAGGAAGGATGGGAGGATTTTTTTTTTCCAGGGTAGGGGATGGGTGTGTAATAGCATTTTTTTTTTTTTTCCTGGAGGTGGATTTATAATATAATGGTATAATTTGGAGAGACAGGCAGGCAACAAGGGCAATGTGTTGGGAGAACCCAAAAGACCTCTCCGCATGTGATGTTAGTGAATGTAGCAGAAGAGACAGATGATTCACTCTCTGTTTTACGTCGACGCTTCTGGGATCCTGAGCGGTTAGTTTGCTTTTCCACATACAGCAGATACATACAGTGACTTTAGGTCTGTTTCTTGTCTCAGTCACACGCTATGAGGGTTATTCATGGTTGTGACCGCATTAGTGCGTTCACATTTGGTTTGGCTTGAAGGTTTCTGCTGAGATACAAATAAAAAGCTAACACTAGCATCTGTTACGAAGCCGAAATAGGTTTTTTCCTGTGTGTATCATCACTTAAATTGGCATCCATTTTATCCATAATGAACATTTATTGAAAAATCAACAACCATGACCTCTTATTCTGGTTAGCTGTTGGTTTTTCTTAGTTAAATAATAAGGTGATCTTATTTGTTATTAAAAAAAGCAGCAGATACCATTTTTCTTCTTTTTTTTTTTTTTAACTACATGTTAAATATACCTTCTCCTCACTACCTTAAAGTAAATCTTACAGAAAGTCATTAATAGCCATGTTTCCATACAGTTTTCAAGTGAATTGGAAGCAAAATTTTGAAATAGAAAGTAAACAAAGAAATGCAAATTAGGCTTTTTTCCCCTCCTAATAAACACTTTGGAGCTAATAAACTGTTATCAGAAGGTGCTCGTATAGGCGACGTCATGCATGGGTGTAAAAAAAAGAAAAAAGTTTGCCACTGCCTAAAAAAAGACACAAAGAAGACAAACAAACAAAACTCAATGAGAGAAAAATGGATAGAAGGCTTTAGGAATTGTTTTCAGTTAGGCAACTTGTAATCTATTTGTTCATGTCAGATGGTATTGGCACTGTTCCACGTTGTACAGAGGCAGCAACAACGAAAGAAGAAGAAGCAGCTGATTGGTTATGTGTGCTAAATGTTTGCTTGTCTAAAATCATGTTTTTCTCTGAGCATGATTTTTTATTTTTTGGTGAAATTGGGTATGTGTTTCTTCAAATTTTACCATCTTTATTAACATTTTCTAATGCCATACTTGTAAATATGTATAAATCTGTTATGGAAACATGGCTACTTTGGGCAAACTAACCTGGTTATTCAAATAATGACGGCTAAATTCAAGCATTTTCTGGAATCTGTGTTCATTTGTACACCACAGTTTCAACTCATTTTCTCTCTATTATGCTATAATAAGCACTGTATACAAGCGTCATCATTATGGTAATTATAAATCAGCTTTTTTTGGTTGTTTCATGAAGCTGTGTCGACTGACCTGCTCGTAGAAGGATAACCTGGTCGTCCAGCGGCAGCTCGGAGAAGTGGGGGATCCTCTTGGCCCACTCCACCAGAGTAAAGAGCTGTTTGTCAGCTGCTTGACAGATATTTGTCACTGGGTCATTGGGCTGTGGGAAGAACACAGACAAAACACATTCGGGAGCATTGAGTTATTGCAAGAAAAGAATAGGTGTTAATTTCTTGTTTTGGTCTGCGTGTGTCTTTTGGCCTGGCGTCTGGATACCTGTGAGCCACTAATCACCGCGCATTCACACACAGGAGCACTACCCTGTGAATAATATCCTCTGAAGAGGAGCAAGTAGGAAGACAAAACAAACAGTGATTCCGTCCCAGCTTGTGGAGGAAATACCTGCAGAGAGCTGCCGGTGAAAAAACAACTTTCGCCGAGCGGATTCTTTCTTTGGGGACCTTTTAGCCGAAATACAAATCAGCCTCTTGGACAGCTAAGAGGAGCTCAAGAGGCCCTCGAGAGGTTCTGCTGACACTTTACCAGGGAACAAGTGCTTAAGAGCTCAAAGGGGGACTTTATTACCACACCAGGAGGGGTTTTGTTGAATGTGCAAACTACTGTATGTGCATAATTCACATTTACACACAGCAGTGCTTATAATAATGACTGTGTATGCTGCAGGTCGTGTGACTGGGAAGTCATCGTACAAGAGCTCTTTCACTTCTTTGTCCAGTTAAAAAAAACTAGTTCCTTCATAGTGCTGCATCCGTTTTCCTGTTTCCACATTGTTTTAGGCTTGCATAAGATTTAACACAACATTTTTTTGTGTGTAGAAAAGTTTGTGTAATAACTCAAATATAGCTGTTTTCCATTTTATGCCCCAATTCGGGACGAGGGAAATAAAAAATCCAGGTGAAGCAGGGAAAAAGCTACAATGACTTATTGATTTGACTTCATTAGATCTACTTAAGTCTTGAGGAAAGATGAGCATAAAAGCAAGGGAGGGGGAAAAAAGAGACTGAGGAATAATCTTGCCACTCTGAGAGAGTGATTATGCTTTAAAAAGCCTCTCTCCACTTTGCCTCCTAAATATACCGTTGCTGTGAAAGTACGCTTGATCAAATATTAAAATGTCTTAAATTGCAGAGTTTCGGAACTGAGTCATAAGTCACAAGTTTGCCTCAGTATGGTTAAAAGAAGGAATTAAATTCTGGTGTATGAAATTGCTGCAAAGTATTTCTTCATTTTTGTTCATTTTTTTGTTTTGTTTTTAGGCTACAAAACATCATCCTTGAAAAAATGACATCTTTGTAGTGATCTTTGTGTGTGTAAGTTTGTCCTGTTTAGATGAAAATGACTATTTCTGTTTTGAAGCACCAGCCTAAAGACAAGGACTGCTTCTTCTCAACTGTCCTGATACATCAGACAAGCATTATTCTCTGATCCACAGGGAGTTGTGGTGGAATACTAATGCAATGCATATACAGTATGACTAATTCACTAAAATGTAACTCCATCTGGGCAGCAGGAGAACAAAAAAAATCCCCAACAATCCTGTCAATCATGACGAGTAATTTACCATCATCCCCGGGAGTGCGTACCCTCAATATGCATGTATGTAAACAAAGGCTTTGTGCACACGCTTTTGTGCATAATATCAAATCAAGACAACATCCTTAAATTCTAAGTATCCCTGTGTGAACTCAGACGGGGGGAAAAAAAGTCAGCAACTTCTCCCCAACTTCCTACTTCCAAATCCCACAGATCGATGCTAAAAGCTCTGAGGATCCTGACATCAACTGCAGCTCTCAAGAGAAGATTAGTTCAAGATGAAGGAGAAAACATCTCTCCACTCGCATTCTCTTCTTGTAACACGCAGGCCAAAGACTATCCCATCCTCTCCTCCACATTCCCTCCCTACGGTGTGAAACTCACACTGACTGCAGAGCGTCGCGCATACGCAGTTGAAATATGAAAAACTTAAACCAGACACAAAGCCTACACTGTTTTGAAAACTGAAAGTCGTTTCTTTTCTCTCTTTTTTTTTTTTTCTTCAGGGGGGGAGAAAGAAAAACAGGCATCTTATGAATATTTCAGCATCTGATCTCCGTGGGAGACGTGGACGGTGCGACAGTTTTTCGTGCTTCCTCTCGGAAACACATTATCAGACCCGGCTAATTCATTCTAAAGGGCAGCGCCGGCAAAAACAAAGACAAACAAAAGGGGGGCTTGGAGTGCGCGCCACGGTCGAGCCACCGCTCCTCATAAGAATACAAGTCCCAGGGTTCTCGTTAAACATGGCGAGCCTCATGAATGTTGTATGGCTATCTTAGCCGTGTTTATACTGACCTGGTTTCTTTGCCTCTGTCTGTGGAGATGACAGGGGAGAGGAGCTTACACTTTCCTGAAACAATTCGCGGGCATCACATTACTGTACTTACTGTTCAAGTCACAGAGCAGCATTAGGGATGCTATCGGGCCACGGCGGAGGACCCGCTGTGACCTGTGAGAGAATAACATCAAGCTGCATGTCTGAAATTAGCAAAGTCCATCCGGGAATGTCTCAAATCTCAACTTTAGGGCATACTTCTTTCCACGGAGGTCACAAACTGTGAAGCAAATAGCAAATAGAGGAAGCTCAGACTTCCACTTGAGACAAAAGTTAAAGCTACTGGATTTTAGCCTATTTGAGCAGATTTTTAAAAAAAATGTTTGCCACAAACAAAACTGTCTTTAATCAAAGGGTTTCTCTAACCAGACGTACTTCCACCACCGTGGACGATCATCCCAGCAACTTAGAGAAATGCCAGGCTTGCATACTGTCCTATGAAATTTTCATCACTTGAGGAGGGGAGACGAAAGATTTGCCTTTCAATTTTTCATTATTCTGCTTGAACCAGACTATACTAGCGTGACAACAGAGAGAAAATTGGGTACTCATACAGATCAGTATGAAAATGAATTACTCAAGTGTCCCACTTTTTTAGATTGAGGGAAAAAAAAAAGAAACCGTCCTCGTGTGTTAGCGCGGGGATGAATCATCGTCTAATTATCATCTAAATAACAGCAACAGCTTCCTGCCTTAAGTTGAGGGAAAGATAAGAACCTTTATATAAACCGTTATATAAATTAATGCAAAGACGGTAGAACAGCTACCCAGAAACAACACCAAAAACGAGAAGAAATGCATAAAACAGAAGGAGAAGAAACACCCCCAGGATTAGTGAATGATAGCATCTCCTCTTAAGAGAAGACTTCTCCTTGTCTGACTGGAGGCGTATTACTAACGCCTGTTTAACTCCTGTTCTAGGTCACCATGAGATAAACACACTTATTCAGCTTGGCCAGACCCCGGCCATTAGACAGTGGCGGTGGCCTATTCATGGTGTACACTCATGATCCAGGCCCTGTGATTAATTACAGCACGGGGCAGCGCCTCTCAATGGAGACCTGGCAGGGGGGAAGGCAAGGGGACGGGATTCAGAGAGAAAAGGGGAGTCCTTGTGGTCAGGACGGCCTACATGCCGACACTCTGCCAACATTGCGGGCTCCGCTTCAATTAAAGGGTCAGCTTTCCCCAAATTGACATAAAGAAGAATGAAGAAAAATATTAAATAAAAATAAATCAACACCTTCTTCCTCTTAGTGTTTAGCCATGTCAAGAGTTCTGGTTTTAGCAGCCCAACTTTAAGGCCTTTCAAGATTTAGTTCTTCTGCCCTTGCTTCTAAATTAGGACTCCCCATCATAGCTGCTAATAATTCTCTGCTGTTGGCAGACAAACTGCCAGATACAAGGCATCGCCAGCCGCCTCCTCCCACCTGGCAGGAGTGGACATCGGCAGAAAGGCAACAGGGACGACAGCCAACTGAGCCTGTTCGAACACATGTACTAATATTGGGAATCGAACCCTCAGTCATTGCTGTGGATGGGAGTTGGAAACTAAAACCTGCATCTCATCTGTTGAAATCTTCGACTAGAGTACAGCGGAGGTGATCGGGGCTTTGTTAGTCAAGGGTTTAATTGAAGATATTCGCATCTAAAAGCTTGAGTGTGTATTGGGGTGGCAGCCAAAGATCTCTGGTAGAAAGAAACCCAAACTAGTGTGACACATTAAAGGAAAAACCTAAACTCTTGACCTCTACGGTGGAACATCGGGTAGCTCCACCACTATGATCAAAACACCAAATGTGGGAATATTTTTTGGAAGATGTTCTGCGCCTTCAGTGAAGTTTCTGAGACTTGGAGATTCAATGTCAAGGCAAATTGAAGCCGTTCCAGCAGCGTCTGGTGGCCCAACATCAGAACAACCAAAAGGAATTATTCAATTTTCAACTTTCCAACAGTCCTTGAACAAGGAATTTTTGACGTGTCAGAAAACCCAATCTAAGCTTCATATCGGAATATTTCATGAACATGTCTCATACAAAAACTCACAATTAACAAAGAAACCACAAATGACTCGGCTTGAACCAACAGATGCAAAAATTCAGGGACTTTTTAGCAAACCTGGGTTGAACTGCAGGCCGTGTTTGCACAGAGCAGATATGAGACAAATACGGAAACAAATCAAAAAGTAAAATATCCATTTTCCTTTTTACTGTATTGGTAACACCTGTACGTACTTGTAAAAATGTTGTGCATGTTAGTTCCATTTTTTGCAAATTTGTATTATAGCATTACATAACAAACAATCAAAGAAATTCAACTGCTACACAGAGGACATTTACTTCTAGTCATGGTTGTGGTTGTTTCCACAGAGATGCAGGACTTCACATTGCATATAAGAAAATGTCCCCACAATGAGTAAACTGTGACAGGGGCAAAAAAAACATCCAGAAACTGCTTCGGGTTCAAAAGGTTAAAAATAAATGTGAGTTTGGTAAATTGACTTTCTAACTATAGAAACCCAACAGTCCTCGAGGCAACATCCAGTCAAAAGCACAGCAAGTAACGTTCAAGTTGGGGGTGAGTTATGTGCCGGATTGTTACTTAGCTCTTCTGAGCAGAAACATCTTGTAATTTCCCCCGGCTGCATGGCAATGATCAAGAAGCATGTATTTTTTTCTTTGTGGATGCTTGGTAACAAAAACAAACAAAACTAAACTGTGGTATGGTCGAAGCAGAATTTAAAAAAAAAAAAGAATTGGGATCAAGATAGTTGAGTGCTTTTTTTTTGCTCTTATTTATGCCACTATAATTACCATATCATAATATTGCAGATGTATGTTAAATTGCATAATCATTCCATTCAGATTGCATTCACAGTTGCTAAACAATACGTTTCTCAGCTCGGTACAGTCTGTTTTCGTGTCTTGTGATGTCCTTCTAAAGCCCTTCTCTTGATTTTTGGGAGGGCTGCAGGTATCGAGGGACCCACCGAGGCTGAGCCCAAAGACATTCAGTGCATTAGTGCGTCTGAGCTGCCAGCCGCTCCCTCATGAATCCCCACACCTTCTCCCTCTCCTAATGTCAGTGCTCATCTCTTACATTTCCATCTGCACCCCCCGCCCCAACCCCCAAAATAGCTACAATTTACTCACATAACAGTCTTCGCATTTCTACCTTTACTTCACAGGACATTTTTCCCGGATGAATCCCAGAAGAAGCCCTCCCTCTCCCACAGTCTCACCCCTCAGTCTATCCCTTTCCCTTCCCCCTCTGCCTCCTTTGGTAGGCCGCCGCACAGCTCCCCTGTTTCCCGTCTTCCAGCAGAATTCCTGAGAAAGCTGAGGCTTTGTGGGATGCTTTCAGGAACAGTCTGTCTGTTGCATTATTCATCACCCTTAGTCTCCTCCGTGTCAAAGACAGCCCACAGTGCCCAGCTGATACTGAGGGGATAGATGAGGGAGCTCACAGCTGAGCGGAGGAGCTGATAGGAGGTGAACAGGTAAACCAGCACAGTCCCCTCCAAAGGGACCGAAAAAGAGAGGACAAACACTGCTCACATCTGATATTCACTAACATCCCTACTCAGCTGCCAGCATGGTGTCAGCTTTAAACTCTACAACAAAAACCACCAGCGGCTTTATAAGGCAGGAAACTAAAAAAAAAAAATAAAATCTAATACATTTAAAACATTCTGACAGTGAAAAACGACAAAGGTAAGCATACTCCGACATGTCCACATGCAGACAAATCTGACTTGACTTACGTGTGTGCTGTTTCTGGACTGCACATCAACCCGAAAAACGAGATAAAGCAGCTACTCGCAGATGGAAGACATTAAAGCAACTTGTGGACAATGGTGGAAGAGCTCCAGTGAGATTTTGGAAAGCAGAAAACTCCTAAATATAAGTCATAAGCGATAAATCAGAAAAACATTTAGTTTCTAAGTTTTTGGCAGTAATCGTTGGATGCAGTCAAAGCTTGATTGATGGCTGCTGACAAAAAGTCTTAAATCATTACACATTAGTACAAAATAATGCATTGTTATTCCACGCTAACTGCAAACGATTAGATTTTAAATTAGAATTTAATACGTATATGGGAATATTTGTAACATGCCAGCAATTAAACATCTACGTATCTGTCAGCGGTAACTCAGTGACACATGGGAAAACTTGAAATTCCCACATCTAGGAGAGGAGAGAAAGAACCCCCTTTGTCAGGACACTTAGGAGATTATTATTGTGCCTATACAAGCTAATTTCAGTCAATCTCGAGAGTTAAGTGGAAAACACAAAGCGGAGCTACTGATGCACTCATTGGTGCCTATTTGCACTTGAATAGACGTCGCCGTACTCGTTTTAATAAGATCTACTTTCACAGCAACCGACACTGTTTGAGGTATTAATGAGCTCCTTACTGTGAGAAAATCAGAAATTAGTATTGAAGGGGAAATGGTGTAAAAGGGTAAGAATGGAGAGCAATAACCATTTTGTCTGATGTAGGAGTAAAACTAGAGAAGACGTACTCTCCAAGTAGCCGCGGGGTAAATCTAAAGAAATCACTCACTGTGTGTGCGCGCGCTTCTCTGAGCATGAATACTGTATATGGACAAAGTGATGACTTGTTGCAGGATGTGAGCGGTTGTCAGAGAATGCATATATATACGTATATATATATATATATTTTTTTTTTTCTCTTTTTTTTCTTTTAAAAAGCAAACTCACCGAGTTGGACGGCACACCAAGGTTGGTCTCGATGTAGGTCTCGGTTTTGGGTTCCACCGCCTGCTCAGCTTCCAGGATCTTCTCCACGGGCATGTCCTCGTTGGCGCAGCTGGTGGACTCCACCTCGTTCTCATTTTTGTCCTTGGCTCGCTGGCGCTCCTCCTGAACGGCTGCATGTAACAAAACTGGTTCCGGTCACTACTGCTGTTTTACAATGTCAGCATGTGTTCAAGTGCGCATGTGTGTTACAACTACAGAGTCAGTCTACGTGGTGTGAGTGCTAAGCAAGCCTTTGGATAAAGTTAAAAAATAATTACAGTGGGCAGGTCACTTCAGCAAAAAAGATGAGGCCCAACACTAAAGCTGACATGTGGCCGGTAAAGAATAATCTATTAGCTAAAGAGTCTGATTGCTCAACTCACTTCCATAACTGAAGCTTTCCTTAGACTAAAACCTTGAATCTTTGTTGATTTTGTGAAAACAAACTGTTCCTACTCTGGTACACATCAGCAGTAAAGTGAATACACAGTATTCTGCACAAAGAGCATGCATGTGCTTGTTTGAGTGTCTGTTTTGGCGTTCGACATTAAGTGTGTCTGCGACTGCTGAATAGTGCATGTCTGTGTATGTATTATGCCAGTAAACACATCCGAGACAGTTCAATCATCAATAATTGCTTGGACAATGTGGAGGGAATATATAAGGACCTCAGACCTGCATTATGTACAACGGAGCAGTGTGGAGATGCTCAAGGACTTCTTCCACTTTCCTTATCAAAGCGATGTGCTTTTCATGTAGTGCTCAATGACAAACAGCCAGCTCCTTTTAAACACAAATCATTTATGGACACATAAATAATGTATGGCCTGTCACCCCTTCGTTACGCCATGAATGGAAGCTAGAACATCTTCACTCACAAAGCCTCGACACAAATCAACGAAGACTCCATCGCGTACAGAAAGAGACTTGAGGACAACCGTGTTGGTTCTGTCGTCTGATTGGCTTGGCGAGCAGATGCAGGAAATGGCTTGTGTGCTGAGCAGACGCCGAGCCTCGGTGCGGCCAAGGCAAGAGAAACCGCACCTCCGCCCTCGAGTGAGAATGAAAAAGACGCATGTGTGTGTGTTTTGTCTTTTCAAAAGGCTGTAATTTACTTAATTCAAGACACCACAGAAAAAAAGTACTGTGGCTTTTTATAAGTTTTCCCCCTTCCAAGCGTGGATTAATAAAAAAAAGTTTTTTGACATAATGTGTCGAGTGATAAAAGGCTTTTGGAAATTCAAAAGTCAGCATGCAGGTTTATATGCACACCTAGAGAGCTGCCTCACATACATATCACACACACACACTCTGGGTTTGCAGGATGATCTGTCTTCTTAAGTTTCCCCCTACTCTGGTTTCTATTCCAAGTCCTGAATCGGAGAGGCCGTGGTCTTGTCGTGGGGGAAAGGGAAGCAGGGGTTGTTAGAGGAGGAGAGGGAAAGGGGCCCCACTTTAGAGGAACTGCTGTCTGGTGGTGGAGGTCAGCCCAAGGGTAGAATACTTGTGTTGGAGTCAGGGAGAGGTGAGGAGGGCTGAAATCATGTTAGCTTTATTCTCCCCCCACCTCTCTCTCCCCCACCCCCCTTCCTCCTCTCCTCTCCTGACTGGGAGAGCATAAATTCATTTAATCCTGTTTTTCTGTGGATTCGCTTAGCCTTTTGGGCTACTGCTGCCTTGTTCTCTAACCACAGCCCTCGGGGTGCAGGGGGAGGCTTAGGCAGCACTGTGAGTGAGGCAAAAGGCAGTAAATGATAATATCCTTGAAAGGAGTAAAGAGCCCAACAATGACATAAATAAAAGCAATGGAAGGGGAGGGGAGGGAAGGCCAAGTAAAGGTCAAGAAAAGTCTCCAAAATGTATTAATCAAAAACAACAAACAGTCAGTGTTCGACAGGGAGGCTACATCCAACACACCTGCATCTTCGCATCCTTGGTTTTCTGCGCTCCTCCGAGCTGTGGTTACCTTAACGGTGAAAGGCAGGGATTGATTGGTTCAATGTGTGAAGGAGTGTTTAACAGCATTGCTGAGAGTGCTAATATTTTTAACACCTTCATGGAGTGTTAAAAATCACACCTCACTGGCTGTTTTTCTTCCCCTCGCACAACAAAACTCTTCCTGTTCTCAACCACGCTGTAATCACTTCCTGAAGGCGCTCCACTGTACCACTGCACGGTGAATCGCTGAGGATATCTGGTGGCTCAACACTTATTCAGGGACGCTCTGCTCTAGAGTCACTCTCCTTGACTGAAAGAATATGAAGAGGATGCAAACTATCGAGCACTCCATTAGAAGGGAATGTCTGTGTGAAAATGTTTTTTTTTTTTTTTACATGGAGTAATGTGTCTTAGTGTTCGGCACTTAAGATGCCTCATGAAAACATTTGACTTGGACGGCCATTATATGTGTTGTGCATCATTGTGTCAGCAACATTCATTTGTGACAATAGTGATGTATTCCAAGGGCATAGATAATACATCATTTTCTAGATGAAAATAAACAGGAATTTGGGGGCATAAAGCACAACAATGAGGGAAAAAAATACCATCATCACCCTTTTCAGTTGCTGAAGATGGTACAGTATCATGGAAAAAGCTTCCACCACAGCAACAAGTGTTCGCCCTGCATCTGCAAAGTGTCTGACAGGCAGAAATTTGACAGCAAAGCACTGTTTCCAAACGCGTCGTCCAAGCTCTTCTTCAGCAGAAGCAAAAAGAACCTGGCAAATGTGAGGACTAAAAATGCAACAATTGGCCAAGGACGCCATGTGCAGCAGAAGAAAGACGCATCACGCTGACTTTCCTTCAAACAAGGATGATGCAGTGCCTTGACGTGCACTGGTTCACCTTACAGTCCAGATAAGTCTGGTTAAAAGAGGCTTTTTCAAAGAAACGCAATCAAAAAACAGTTGGTCCGATGTGGGAACAAATCCTAGCGTGGTGGGAGATGGTTGGGGATTTTTTAAAGAATTTTTTGTGTGACTCACTGAATGGTCAGAAAGCATTCTGTGGTATGACAATGACCCCATGCATACAGACAGAGTCATAAACAACTATCTTCTTCGCCAAGTAGAAAAAGGAGTCCAGCTACAGATGGTATGGCCCCCGCAGAGTCTTGATCTCAACGTCATTGAGACTGTCTGGGATTACATGAGGAGGCAGAAGACAATGAGTCAGCCTAAATCCACCAGTGCACCATGGAAAACCAAATATTAACTGAATTAGTTTTGTTTGCCTGTTTGAATACTATTAACGGTATTATTTGAAAAATCCTCAGTTTACAGCATTCTTCCAAATATTCCTTAAACATTTGCACAGCACTGCGCATTGTGTCCTGTTTTCTTGAAGGTGCATTTGTTTTCTGTGCTTGCTTTAGTGTCTTACAGACTTGTCATGAAGTTTGGGGTATTGTCAGTAATGACTCAGTGGAGCAGCACAATTCAGGTGTCAAGAAAGACGGGGATCTGTACCAAAAGCACCAATTCCCCCCTCAGTGCTGCAGTCACATATAGGAAAAAAGAACTCGGTCGACCTCGGACAACTTTCCTGGAGTGTGCAGAGGCGTAAATGCCTCACATATGAGCAAAGCCTCGGAGATTGTTAACAGATGTGAGTGATGGGCATGTGATGATGTCCCTCTGTACTGCGACCATGTGATTATTTCCACAGGATAAAGAATATTTGATCGTTACACTAGAGAGGGAAATAACAAATTACTTTGGCGAGTCGCATAGTTTCAATTCAGAATAGAAGTACATTCACTTTTTTATCTGAGTTATAGCAACTTAAACTCAATTTTGTACTCACATATTTTTGCCAGTAAATTAACATTTTTGGTATATTTGTTAAGGCTACGTATGCTAAGCTAACTAATCTGTAGTTATGTTGAATAATCCCATCATAAAGTGTTCACCAGCTGGTCTCTGCTGATGTTCTATGATTAACTAACTTTGCATATATCAGCTGTTCAATGACTTAATCTCTTCACTGTACCTGAAAAGAGGAAGTTATGTGGACATTTTGCCAGTGTCGCAGTGGAACCTGGTAGGATTTTTGTCTGAGATGGACATTGTTAAAACTTAATCATGTCGACGTTATTGTGATGCGTTTTATAATCTCCAGCCTCTATGACAGGGGAAATAGTTGCTCCCACCTGATGATGCACAGAGATGAAAGTTTGGCTGTTGCATCCTGAATAAATCTTCTCAAACTAATGGTGAACTGAAGCCCCTGCTGTCCACTTGACTCTCAAAATCACTAATTACACATTGGAGTCGATGGCTAAACATGCAGTGTTTGTTGTCAGTAAGCTGCACAAAGTGGCATCAGGATGTAATAAAGAGCTGATAAATGGCAAATGTATTCAGCTACCGTAAAAATGACAGAAATCCCCCTCATGTGTATGCGACGATTGCCTGTTTCAGTTTGATACTAACTGTCTAACCATGATTGTTAAGAAAATAATAACCCCTGAACTAGGTCTGATTAACAAGCTGTGTATGTGGCCTCACCATGTCGATGATTAAATCCTCGTATCTTTCTGGAGAAAGGCAGGAGAACGACGTGCATGCCGTCAGTAGCATATAATTTGAGGAATGTGGTGCAAATTTTTTACTGTGCCGTGCAATTACAAGACATTATCCAATTTGAGTACTTTGATTGAATTCTGTGCGTCGAGTATCTTGCAACACAAGCACACAAACCACCTCGTGTCTTGCCCGTGTGTTTTTGTGAAAACAAGCCTGTTCACAAGAACTAGGTGGTGTTCCACACAACCTCTAAGTTTATATAAATCATTAGGAGCACAAGACGAGCGCAAACGACGACTTCCAGAGGTTCACACAGCTCCGTTGTTGTGTTTTTATTTTTTATTCGGTCTATATCGGTGAAGTCTCAGAGGACCGCCTGTTCTCACAAACCCTCACTCTGCTTCCACGCACAACAACGCTGGGTCCATGGCACTGCAACAGCTGAATGCATTAGACCTCAAAAAGTAGGGCTGGTAGCAGAAAAGTGTAAGTGAGAAGAACTTCAGTGAATGTTATGTGTGTTGACATTTATTTAGCCTCTGCAACAGTTGAAAGCTGCAGTTCAAATCAAACTACACAATTTATATCATTCATGTCAAGGCAAAGTGGAAGGTTTGCACCAAAAAGCAAGCGTCATATTCTGCTGTGATCCTTAAAAATCCTTGTATTGACTTCTACTGTGCTTTACAAACTCCAACATCTGCCATTAAAGAACCCGAGCAGTCAGAGTGAGTATATTGGCATCTGTACAGGGTGTCAGCAGTTTAAGAGCACACCAAATTCAGATTAGTTGGAAGCACACTGCCAAATAAAGTCAATCTGGAGTCTCGTGTGTGAGCTAACTCTACGTGTTTCTTGCTGCAAAAAATACCAAAAATATACATCTGCAGGCTGTGCTACACTGCTACCAATTTCCAAAAATAGAGCCCTTATCTTGGTTTGAAACGTGTGTTTATGTGGATTAGTACAGATTTAAGGGAATGGGTAAGTGGGACTTTATCCTCAACGGTATGTGCTGTACCTTCTCTCTTCATGCCCATGGCTAAACACTTCTGGTAGCGACAGTACTGACAGCGGTTCCTCTGGCGTTTATCAATCACACAGTCCTTGTTGTCGCGACAGGTGTAGGTCAGGTCTTTGCGGACGGTCCTTTTGAAGAAACCTTTGCAGCCCTCACAGCTGTACACCCCATAGTGTTTACCTGAGGAAAGGGAATGTATAATATTAGTATAAAGTCAACCGTAAGCTGTAATTTCCCTTTACAGTGTTTGTTCCTTTTTTTTTCTTTTGCTTGACAAATGTGGTCATCTAGTTGGGGACAGCGAGAGACACATTTACTTGCTATTTCTCCACTGTGACTACGTATTAATTTATCTTCAATGCCGTGACTACGACAAGAGTAACACAATCAAGGAATGCACTGTAACTTCATTAGCAGGTATTCCCACTGAGATCACAGTGTCCTAATGTGCAACCACACAAACTGCTTACTGGAACTAACGGTTGAGGGAACAAACGAGCAATTATGATCAAAGACCTATGAAAGTGAACAGAATGCGTGTTGCGCTGAAGGAAAAACAGAAGAGGGGCCTACTGCAAGCAAGCTGTAGGAGGCCCTGTGGATCTGCGTTACAGTACCGTTCTCAAATCATGTTGTCCATCCGCTGTTTTCTAACCGCTCTTTCTTGTTATTTATGACGGATGGAGTCCAATTTGCATTCTCCACTGTTGCTCAAACTGTTTCTTTGTTAGCTCTCTGCTGGTCAGACCACCAGAGAAGATAAATAAAGCCTCCGAGCACATCTAAATGAAGCATGACTTGCTATTAAACATTGTTTTGATTTTCCCCCTTGGGTGCATGCAGAACTGATGACGCAGGATGACAGTAACACTGTCCAATGAATTAGATATCCACCTTCATCCCGGGGCTAGAAACATTTCATGGTTATCCCAAAAAAAAACATTTAAACACGGGGTTATTTGTTGGCTGTGTGAAAGAAAATTATTTAGGAGCACTCTGCATAATAAAGACAACATTGTGAGTCATTTCCCTGGGCTAACAGTTAACCGTGGGTAAAATGTTCTTGTGGTTTCAGTGGTTAAGCTAGTTAGACGATAGGCCATGAATAAGCGAGTTCTGGAGCGAGCATGTGGTCTGTAAAAGGCCAAAAACTGTTGGGGAATCAACAGTGATGGCATTTTCTGCATTTTTAGACACTACAGAGCTATGTGAGAAAGTTTGAACTTTACAAAAGTCTTCCCATTGTTAGAAATGCTTGTGTATTTAGGACTGATTACATCTCTCAGGCGTTGCATTGAGCAGTACAGAGTCATAAACTTTGAACTAAAGTTGGGTAAAAAAAAAAATCTCAAAAGGCTAAAAATTTCATGACTATAATATCACAGTAACACGATTAAGTTTCTTTGTGAGAAGGCAAACCCATAAACACTGCGGAGTGTATCTTTATATCTCCAGCTGAAGCAGATTTGTGTCAACTTTCACGATTGCTCTGTAACAAAGCTCTTTGTTAAACTCCGGGCTTCTTAAGTGGGCTTCTCTCACAATCTGCTTCCAGTCTTCACGTTGCCAACTGTTTCACGGTAGGGATGCTGTGATATGAGTGATGGGCTGTGCATGGTTTCCCTCAGACACAGCACTATTTCAGGAGAAGCCGAATTGAGGTTTGGTTTCATCCGACCGTACCATATTTTGCCTGGTGATTTCAGCTGCTTTCATGTGCCTTTACGCTGCTGCCCTCATATGCTTTTCCTCAGGAGTGGCTTCTTTCTGGCCTCGCTGCCATTTAGCCCAGATTTGTGAAGAATTCCAGTGACTGTTGTCCTTCCAGGAAGTTCTCCCGCTGCAAGATGCTGCAGTGTGTAGTTCTGCCAGAACGGTCCGCGGGGCTGTTCTCTGACCAAAGTTCATCTTTGGATCTTCTTTGGAGGTTTCTCAGTGTGGTCAAAGCGCAGGCTTGAGCAAGATGCTGGGTAGTCCGGCTTTCTTTTAATTTGGAAATAATGTCTTGTGTAATCCCAGCTGTTGAGAAATTATTTTTATACACTTGCCCAGATCAATAGCTGTCCACAATTCTGCACTGCATTGAAGTTCCCTGAACTTTCTGGTTAGGTTAGGGTTTGACTCATGTACACGTATAAATAGTCATCTCCTTAATTTACCCTTAGTCATTACAGCTTTTCAAAAAGATATTACAAAAAAGTTTGACATTAAATTAGACTTCAGAGCTTTTGATTGTGCAATGCTTCTGTTGCAGGCATTCATCTCAGTCGGATGTCACTCACCTGAGGAGCGGTCGCCGCAGATGGCGCAGATGTGTTTGGTGAGTGACAGGGCCGTGCCTGAGGGCTGGGCGGGCACCTTCATCACGCCGTTGAGGCCCAGCGGGGGCTTAATGTCCTCCGTACTGCTGACCGAGTTCATCGGAGAGTTCAGCTGGAACATCAACACACACAAACACACACGCCGACAGGTCACAAAGCAGCCCCCCTGAACTCAAAACCAGCAACATCACACAGTCCATCGCACAAGCCCTATCACATAACTTAGCGAGCGCGCCATAGTTAGCTGATGACATTAAGTATTGAATGAGGGCCAGGTCTGCTAAGGAGAGGGGAGGTTTGGTTACATATACAAACAGGGACATTAAATCTGAGTGGAGTTATGTCATGCAGAGAGTTCTGAACAATTTGCTTAATGCACAAAGTGAAAAGGATATTATGACTACTGATACTCAATGCAGATGGTCAGCAGTCCTAGCAGCACCTCCTTGGCTCTCTTTCATTGCTCCCTCTGTCTCTCTCCTCCCTCCTGTTCCCCTCTGTTTCAGATCTAAATCTGGCACAGCGGGATCCTGCACCACTCAACCCCAGGAACTCTTTTATTCATGCTCTCAACAAGCCCCGCTGGCTCCAAAATGTTCAGCGCTAGCATAACTCCACTGCAAAATTTAACAGTACAGCGGAATAAAGAGACAGCATTTGTTTTAGTAGCAGTGCAACTGCAGCCTAAAGTCTAACTTCAATTGCCGCCTGCCTTTTTCCCCTGAAAAAAGAGCTTTGATAAAATTCATCCCAAAGTGACCTCTGTTCGCCTTCTACAAAAAAAAAAAAAAGAAAGAAAAAGTGAAGAGCAAAAGGAGGCTAATTATTATAACTAGCTACATGCTGTTTCCAGAAGAGATAAACGTTGCGGGGCAGGATATAAATCATCCTAGAACACTAAATGCACTGGATGGAACAGAGGCAAGCTAACCATTAGCAGCACCTCCTGAAAAACAGTCAAAGTAGAAGCACTCGTCTGCTTGGCTACGCTGAGACTACAATGGCTTCACACTGGGGGGAAGAAAAAGGGGGAAAATACTGAATATATTCAGACAAGTGGATCCCCCACCAACACACCAGCCACAGAGGGATGAGAAGCAGAACAGCAAAGGCAGAGCAGCCGCATGGGCTCATATAGCCAGACATAGTTTTATTAAGTTACCACATGTGAGGAATGTCTGATGGCACAAACAATTCTTGGCTCGACATTGTAGAGGAGAAACCCTGTCTCTGTCTGCTGGGATTGGGCAACACACAAGAACCATTTCCTTCTCATAATGTCAAGACAAACATGTTTTGTCATACTAAAACACATCCTAAGCCGTGTTTACAGTCGCCTGACAGGGTAATAGTTTAGGAGATGTTTCGTCTAATGTGTAATGAGACATCACAAAATAGATGGTGTAAACACTAACAGACGCGGACAAAGACGTGAAGCAATTACAGCGCTGCAAAATGTAGCAATACCCATCAGCTGGCGAACAGAACTTAATTAATTGCTTCGGTTATTTATCGAGTGAAAACGCCTTGGACGCTGGGAAATCAGGATGGGTATTTTGCGCTATTTACTGACTTTCGACGCAATAAATGAATAAAAAAAAGTATCAATATAATAATTAGTAGTACAAATAATCTCAAAAGTAAATTTGTGAGCACATTTTAATGTGTGTCAGACAATATAAGAGAAAGTAAAGGATGACATCACTTCCCATAATGCACTTGAACAGCGTTTTTCATTAGACCGTTCAGCGAGTTAACCAAGTTCCTCCAAAGCAACAGAGAAACTACTGTTTTCACGAGCTGTGTACTGTAAACATGAAGCTGATTTGATCCACAAAAGCACATTTATGTGTGATTAAAGCTGCAGTGATTACTTGATTAATCGTTTAGCTGTCCATTATTTAATTAATCGACAGCTATTTCAATAATTGTTTACTGTAAATTCCGGACTATAAGCTTCTACTTTTTTCACACACTTTGAACACTGCGGCTTAAACAATGATGCGGCTAATTT